GACTCCGGGGCTGGAGCTACGGGCGCCAACTTTCCAATGTGCCCGAGGGTGCTCACTGCTCAACCCTGGGTCTGCCACAGGCCCTGTCCCTACTCCCTCCTCTGAGCCTGCCATGCCCTCGTTCCTCCCCCGCCCCAAGCCTCCTGCACGCCACGAAACAGCTGATCAGGAGTGCGGAGAGGGAGAGGGAGGCGCTGATTGGCGGGGCTGTCGATGGGCAGGAGGTGCTGGGAGCAGGGGAGCTGATAGGGGGCTGCTGATGTATTACTGTGGCTCTTTGGCAATGTACATTGGTAAATTCTGTCTCTCTCTCAGGCTCAGGTTGGCTACCCCTGCACTATCTGAAAGGTGTAAATACCATAGTATGTGAGGAGTTAGACTAGCACAAGAAGCATATGCGAAATGAGATAAAATTGAGAAAAAAATGATGTACTATCAGGAGCACAAAACAGTCTCCCAAGAAAAGCAATAATTTAACATTTAAACTAGGCTGGATGAAAAACTAGTAAATGTACAATAGGGAACAATTTGGCATCAAGAGAAAGATAAACTATATGACCTCAAACTTCTATTAAATACACACACAAACATATATATGCATGCCACCTGGAAGGCTTCAGAAGTCAGTGGAATTTAGTTTTAATTAACACTGCTTATAATTCAGCTATATGGATCAATTAATTTCCAAAAGCCATTTCCCAGTAGCACAAAATACAGATCAGAGAGCAATCATTTGTAAATTGTCAGATAGGAAATAATTTTTGAGTTTTACAAAGGTTGCAAAGAATTTCACACCTTTTTGAGTATCACTCTCTAGCAGATAAATGTTTTTACAGCTTGTGGCAGTGCCAATCAAAGCTAATTATAACCTTATTGAGATGCTTTGGCACAGAGGCAGCAGGCCCAGGGGATGAAGCAGATAACTGGTAGTCAGAAAAAATAGATTATATTTAGGGCTGTTGATTAATCGCAGTTAACTCGTGCAATTAACTAAAAAAAGAATTCATCGCGATTAATAGAATACAATAACAACAACAATAGAATACCAATTGAAATTTATTAAATATTTTGGATGTTTTTCTACATTTATATATATATATTGTATTCTGTGTTTTAATTGAAATCAAAGTTTATATTATTCTTGATTACAAATATTTGCACAGTGAAAGATAAACATAAGAAATAGTATTTTTCAATTCACCTCATACAAGTACTGTAGTGTAATCTCTGTCGTGAAAGTGCAACTTACAAATGTAGACTTTTTTTGTTACATAACTGCACTCAAAAACAAAACAATGTAAAACTTCAGAGCCTACAAGTCAACGCAATCCTACTTCTTGTTCAGCCAATCACTAAGACAAACAAATTTGTTTACATTTCCAGGAGATAATGCTGCCCTCTTCTTATTTACAATGTCACCAGAAAGTGAGAACAGGCGTTCGCATGGCACTTTTGTAGCCAGCATTGCAAGGTACTTACGTGCCAGATATGATAAACATTTGTATGCCCCTTCATGCTTCTGCCACCATTCCAGAGGACATGCTTCCATGCTGATGACACTCGTTAAAAGAATGTGTGTTAATTAAATTTGTGACTGAACTCTTTGGGGGAGAATTTTATGTCCCCTGCTCTGTTTTACCCGCATTCTGCCATATATTTCATGTTATAGCAGTCTCGGATGTTGTTCATTTTAAGAACACTTTCACTGCAGATTTGACAAAATGCAAAGAAGGTACCAATGTGAGATTTCTAAAGATAGCTACAGCACTGGAACCAATGTATAAGGATCTGAAGTGCCTTCCAAAATCTGAGAGGGTTGAGGTATGGAGCAGGCTTTCAAAAATCTTAAAAGAGCAAGACTCCGATAAAGAAACTACAGAACCCAAAGCACCAAAAAAGAAAATCAACCTTCGGCTGGTGGCATCTGACTCAGATAATGAAAATGAACATGCATTGGTCTGCACTGCTTTGGACTGTTATCGATCAGAACCGTCATCAGCATGGACGTATGTCCGCTGAAATGGTGGTTGAAGCATGAAGGGACATGAATCTTTAGCGTATCTGGCACGTAAATATCTTGCGGCGCTGGCTATAACAGTGCCATGAGAACGCCTGTTCTCATTTTCAGGCGACACTGTAAACAAGAAGTGGGCAGCATTATCTCCTGCAAATGTAAACAAACTTGTTTGTCTGAGTGATTGACTGAACAAAAAGTAAGACTGAGTGGACTTGCAGGCTCTGAAGTTTTACATTGTTTCATTTTTGAATGCAGTTATTTTCTGTACATAAATCTACATTTGTAAGTTCAACTTTCATGATAAAGAGATTGCACTACGGTACTTGTATTAGGTGAACTGAAAAATACTATGTTTTTGGTTTTTTACAGTGCAAATACTTGTAATCAAAAATAAACATAAAGTGAGCCCTGCACACTTTGTATTCTGTGTTGTAAATGGAATCAATATATTTGAAAATGTAGAAAACATCCAAAAATACTTAAATAAATGGTATTCTATTGTTTAATCACGCGATTAATTTTTTAAATCACTTGACAGCCCTAGTTATATTACTAATTCTGCCGTTGACAAGATGGCAAGTAGTTTAACCTCTGTACTTCAGTTTTTCCATCTAGTGTATAAAATGGGGAATCATCTTTACCAACCTTTTTAAAGTATCTTGAGATCCTTTGATGAAGCGTGCTACATAAGTGCAAAGCAGTAGTAGTAGTGAAAACATTATCTACTATCTGTTCTTATCAGTTTAAAAAGCTTAGCACGATTAGGTTCTTGCAAGATGGACATTTTTCTCTCATGCCCATTTTATTTGTGATTCACATTGTAATGTGAATACATACATATCATATGATTATCAAGATAAAGTTTGCCCAAATCAAACCTTATTTATGGGATTCCACTATACATGTGGCCTGCCTGAGGCTCATTATATCTGTCCCAAATACACAGATTATTTTCAACACGTTTCTGTTAATTAGACACAAATAGATAATGAATCAATTACAAATTCTGCAGTGAAGGTCAATCAGTTCAGGTCAGACAATCACATCCATCCTTCTCTTTCCCTTGTCCTCACAATCACGTCTTTAAACTTGTGCAAGGGAATCACCATAGAAGAACATCACACCTGCAATCCTGTTCAGAAGACCTTCCTGATAATCCCACAGGAACAGAGAGATTGACAAAATCAGGAGATTCTCCTGCCTATAAAAAACAGGGAACAGCCTGCGTTGCGGCATGTTGGGGAAGGGATATGAAGAGAAAAGAGGACGAAGGGATAGGAAGCGAAAAACAAAGAGGGAAACCTAGAGAAAAGGAATGGGTGGTAGGTGCTTAGTCTCAAACATGGTCACTATGAGAACCAAGTAGTTAGTTATTAGGAGTCTGACAGAGATGTGATCTATGACAGATTCATTCTTGCAACTCACCTGTAAATGGTTGGAAAAACCCCTCTCCTATTACAGTTCTTACAGCATGCTAATCACTGAGGCTATGTCTACACTAGCACTTTTGTCGGTATAACTTATGTCACTCAGGAGTGTGAAAAAACACCCCTCAGACCGACATAAGTTACACCGACAGAAGTGCTGGTGTGGACAGCGCTATGTATGGGCGGGGGGAAGCTTCTCCCATGGGCATAGAGCAGCTACATGAGCGATCTTACAGCGGCACAGCTGCATTGGTATAGCTGTACAGCTGTAAGCTCGCTAGTGTAGACATGGCCTGAGAGAAGTGGTTCTAGATAGTTTGTGACTGATTAGAGCTCTAACTCCTTAGCCCAGGAAGGGATGGGAGGATGAGAGTCCTCTATCTAGCAACTTGCTCTGACCAACTGAAGGCTAAGAGGTCTGGGCCTTATCTACACAGGAAAATTAGGATGCTTTCTTCACTATGCAACTACTCTGGGAAGCATCAACAGCAGAAACTGTAGTGTAGTGTAGGCAATACTACAATAGCAATATAAGCAGTAGTCAACGATGGGGTTACCAAATATGAGATTAACCACCATATGGATCTTGAGGCACAGAGGCTGAGTCGTAACCAGCGGCAGACTCAGCAGACACAGATTGTAATCTCTTCCTCAGCATCCAGCTACCTATGCACTTCATGCAGCAAGGATTGGCACTCTCGCATCGGTCTTTTTAGCCACAGCCATACTCACAAGACATAAAACTGTTGTCAGTGTCATCTTCGGTCAGGAACGACAACAATTGTAATGTAGAAAACAAAGATGCCAAGGTCTTTTCTCCACTACACCTTCTACCATTGCTACCACTGCTGGAGAATTAATGGTCCCAGTTATTCTAGGATGGACAGGGCCCAGGATTCAGCCTCTCTCAGCACACATAGGGAGAGCAGAAGAGTACATGGCATCACTCCTCCTCCCTCCCCTTCAGTTTAAGAAAGAGACAGGAAGAAACTGAAGCCATTCAAAGAAACAAGGGAAGATAAAATGGGAGAAATAAGAGAGAGTGGGACCAGACACCCCAAGCCCCAGCGCAGCAGGGGTCCGCAGAACAGCCACAACTCACAGGTGAAACTGACAGAGAACATGACAGAGACTGAGGGCAGCACTGTGACCTGGGTGCCCCCTGGGGCACATAAGGCTCAGCGTCCTGCCACCTCAACCGCTGAGACAGTGGCTGTCACTCCCCCCTGCCCGGTGCGGGTGCGTCGGGCTGAGGGGGCGCGGGCGTCACGCCCCCCACACGCTGCGCGGCCGGGGCGGAGCTGCCAGCGCTGCCCTTTCCCGGGGAGTGGGATGCGGGGCAGCTCAGACGCCAGAGGGGACGGCCGGTGTCCGAGGGGCTCCAGGCTGCGGCTCTGCCTCCCCCATACAGCGGCCGGACCTCGCAGTCACTGCACGGGGGGCGGCCGGGCCGGGGAGCGGGCCCGCGGCGCTGGGAGTCGGGCGCAGCGGGGCGGGCCCAGGCCCCGGGAGACGCGGGGCCAGCAGAGCCGGGCCGGGGGGTGGGTCGACGTTACCTGCAGCTCCGCCCGCTCCACCTCCCACTCGGCTCGCTCCGCCTCGAAGCGGCCCCACTCGTGCTGCAGGAAATGCAGGATCCCGGGGACGCTGTACTGAGCCCGGGCCGCGGACACCGGGGCCGGGGCGGCCGCCGCCAAGGAGCCCCCCGCGGCCGCCTCCCCCGGCTCCAGCCCTGGCCCGGCCCCGCCCGGCGGCAGCAGCAGCGCGTTATTGTTGTTGTTGTTGCTGAAGAAAACGCCGGGCCCCGCCTGCTCGTCCATGGCCGGAGCCGCCGCCCGCAGCCGCCGCGTCCCGGCAGCAGCAACAACCTGGGCGCGCCCGCCCGCCGTCACCGCCTGACAGGACGCCCCCGCCGGCTGCTACCGGGGCCCGGCGGGGACAATTCCAGCGCGCGATCCGCACCGGCCCGGCCCGCGGCACTCTGGGAAATGTAGTTCTGGGGCCATTCTGCCGGGGAGCTCAGCACAGACAGGGCAGGGTCTGACTCTGTCCCGCCTCGGTCGCCGGCTGCTCTACTCCCCAGTTCTGAGAAACGGAAATCACACTAGGGAAAACATCCCTGTGTCAGCTCCTCAGATAAGCGCTCTGCCCCAGGGCCAGGAGCGAGCAGGCGCCTTCCAGGCAGATCCTCACCCACTTCCGTTCCTCCCACCCCGCAAAAGCAGGGGCTGGAGGAGAGAATCCACGTAACCCTCGACCCAAAACCAACCCCTCTCCCCAAGTGTCTTCGCTCCCTGGGAGCTGGCAGAGGCCCATGGTAGTTGCATCAGACAGACGTACAGAGCCACACATGTCAACAGCACCGTGAGAAATGTACAAATTCCAGAGGAAATTAACCATTTTTCACCCCAGCCCTTAATCACGAGAACTACTCCTGTCCTCTGTAAGGCTGGGTGGCACACTTTAGCACAGAGGACAGACAGAGGCTGGCAGTTGTATCCAGAATAATCACTTTCTCAGCAGCATGGCAAGATTTTCTGCAAGAGCAGCTTTGCATAAAGCTAAGGCAGGTCGGTTCAGTGATGCATCCACCGTACAAGCACTTTCTACTCAGGACCGTCAACAGCCTTTAGCATGGGAGGTAGTGAAGCAAGTCCATTCACTGGTTACAGTAGCCTCTGAAGACTAGGTATTAGAGGGAGGCACAACACAATGCGGCTCAGTCTACAGCCCATAGTTAAGTCAACATAAGCAGCCTTCACTTAAATTTGATTCCCACTAACATAAGTGCCTCTCTGTGCTGATTTAGTAACACCAGCTCTTTGAGCTATGTAAAGTCAGTCAATGTAGTTAGTTCAACACAGTGTCAATGTAAACACTGCGTTGTTACTGGCTTTCAGGAGCCATCCCACTATGCCCCACACTGACAATACAATAAAGTGCTCCTGATGAGGCTGTGCACCACTGACCCAAGGAGCCAAGTGTGCACACACAAACAATTTAATAACTGCGGTGGCTAGCTGTAGGTTGACAATTTTGTAGTGTAGACATGGCCTTAGCCAGCATGTTATAAAACTACATTGTTAAAAAATGGCTGGAGTAGAAAGGGCCATTTTCCTCAACTGTAAGGGGATGGAGACAGGGAACTGGGCACTGAAAATTATGGTACACTGCAGTCCCCTCCTCCTCAGCCTTAGGGAGGAAAACTCTAGGATGAGCTGCCTGGAGGAGGAGTTTTGGAAAGCTGTAGTGCTGTAAGGGTTCAGCACAGGAGGATCTTCTGAAGACTGCTCTTCCCTGCAGCAGAAGGAAAAGCTGGATTGCTGAGACCTGTAAAGCCATCCCATAGAACTGCAGTAGAAGGAAGCTTGTCCTGGAACCTCTGTTCTCCCTAGAGGGGGAATGCTGAGGAAGGTCACTGGGTCATATTGCAGGAAGTCTCATGGGAACCACAGCCTCCTCTGAAAGGACAGTGAGAGCCTAAACTTTTAAAATTGGCTCCTCGTGAGAAGCTGGGCCAAGGGGATGGATTCACCAGCTGGTGTTTGAGGAGGAGAGCCAGAGCCTCCTACTCTGCTGCAGCTGCCATGGCCCTCACATCCTATCTCATACTCTGGGGCCACTCAAAGATCTACTACAGATTCACAGAGATATTAATGAAAGGAGCCTTGCTTAAGAGGAATGGGATTGCCAAATCCAAAAGAAAGCTAAAAAGACAGAGAACATGTGAGGCCACTAAAAATGCTGCAAGCTCTGTAAGCAACAGTCCCAATATGTCACCAACGCTACTGTCTTGGCATAAGATGAGCATTTCTACAGGCCCATCAATGGTGAAGGCACTGAGTAGTCCCAGAGCCTTCACCATATTTTGTAGACTAGGAGTGTTGCTGAGCTTTTCAAAGCAATATTTCTGGTTAGCTGATGGCCATCTATCACTTCTTCAGAAGGCCAGTGCTTGCCTGCTTCCTTGCCCACAGTAAGAGAGATCACTATAACTACAGAGAGGAGCATACTAGGTGATCTCTTCACTCTGGCTCAGAGGGGAAAAAACTAAAGGAGCTTGGAGACAGAGAAAAAGGAGAATGAGGTATAGCAAGGAAGATGGAAAAAGCAGGAGTGGTGAGAGAAAATATGAGCTGGAGAAAACCAAGCTCATAGGGAGCAAAAGTAAGGAGGGTGGTGAGAAAAACAGGAAAGAGTAGAGAGAGAAGAAAAATGGAGAGGGGAAGTGGATAAGTTAATTCAGGGGAAAACCAGACTGAAAAAAGACCATGAAACCTGGGAAAGGCAGAGAGAGGAAAAGAGAGGAAGAACAAAAGCGAGGAAGGCATGCCAAGTTACTTCGCCTTTTAATCAAATGATGTTTGGTGCCAGATTATTATATAAAATAATTTTTTTCCTGAGGAGCAGGAAAAGGACAGGACAATGTCGATAGGAAACTTGAGAGGCTTGTTTCTAAATGAGCATGAGACCCCAGTATGTCTGTAGGTGGTGGAGGAAAAGCCTCTCTTTTCATCTGCGTCTGCCTTTCCCTTATCCCTCAATCTCTGTGTCTGTTTTCCCTTCAATTAACATTTTTCGCCCATTTTACTTTTTTTTACTGGCTTCCTATGGCTTCCCACTTTTGCTTGGCTGGCTCTAAACTTGCATTTTAAGATTTGTTTCTTTGCCTTTTCTGAGTTTCCAGCCATCTTGTTTAGTAAGAAATTCAATTCTAACTGGAAAAAAAGTGCTAGGGTAAAACAAGACTATTTTAGGGGAATTAGGAGACAACAACAAGAATTCTTGCTGCTAATTCAGGCAAGGCAGAGAGAAACTGGCAGACAGCTCATGACAGAAGGGAAGACTTGTCCTCAATGCACAACAAAAAAAAAATTCAGCAATTTCATTGGGGTTCCTACATGTTTGTTGCATGGCACAGATAGGAACCCAGTAAGCATAAACTAACCTGAAACAATCAGAGAAAGCATATCTTATTGTTTTTCTCACTTCCAGCTGTTTTACGTGTTCATATGGTTTCTCTAAAAATCTTGCTGTCACATTTTTGAAATTCACCTTCCCTAATGAAATGTTAAAAGGCTTGTACTTTTTTATTCAAATGAGCTTTTAGTGTTTCAGCTTTGAAATTATGAATTATATTGTAAATTTTAATTAACTTATTCACTATGTACAGAAAGGAAGAATAAAGCAAATAATTCTTTGCTGCTACTCTTTCCTCACTTTGGGCTTCATTCTATAAACACTTTATTACTCTATGTGTCTTTACGCTCATGTCTAGTCCTATTACATTAGTGGAACTAGGTGTGGGAGTAAAGATACATCCTATAGTAACTGTTTGCAGGAAAACAGGGTTCACACCATTCTTTGTGATCTTGAATAATGGTCAAGAACAATTCTGAATTAAAAGCTTTTCTAAACATAACTTTATGTTAAAGAGTTTGCACAAACTAACTGTGACAGGGTGAAAGAGAACTATCTTGTTCTTAGTTAATTGGTTTTAATTACAGTTGATCTTTCCCTTCCCCTTGCACAGATGCTCAAAGGAAAGGCTATCACAGTGGCTATTTAAAAGAAAGAGATGGGTAAATGCCTACAAGATCAGAATCCATACATATTTCAGCCAAAAATCAATCATACAATTAAATTCTGATTACTACTAATTTCCTATTGTGAGGTTCAAACAATAGAAATTTTAGGATCCACTTCTCAAATTATATAAATAACTTGTACATTGACTTGTTCCAGGAACATCTGAATGGACAACAAAGATGGAGGGATAGAAACATGCCTACATTTATTATGAAAGCCCTATAGGTTGTATGACACAACAAACCTATATAGGAAGGGCCCCTGATTTATGTGGCAAACTGGGAATTCTAAAGCAGTGTAAAAGACATTAAAATTCAGAGATTTCAGCTGACTATTAAAATGGATAGGAACAGAGGCATTAACATATCATTCAATAAAAATACTGTACTTCAGGAAAACAGCACTACTGCATTGAATAAATCAGGACCCTTGCCAGAAATTGTAGGTCTGATATGCACAGAGTATATGGCCTTATGCCTTTCACCTCTTCCTGACTCTAAGAAAGGTGTGTGAGAGCTATAGCCCCCTCCCTATGGCTGCAGGAAGAAGGTTCTCCACCAGCCCCTTGTGAAGTCTGGCAGGAGAAACAGCCCAATGGCTCCCATTATAGTCAAATCTTGTAGCAGGTAGCAGTGCTCTTCCCTCTGAAAATCCAGGCAAAGTAAGCAGAACACTGAACTGTGGGATCTGGGCAGAATAGGAAAATAGTTTACCACAGAAGCTTTGCAACAGGCAAATTCCAGAGCCACAGAAATGCAGATGGCATATGGTCCCATTTATAAACCTTATTTCCAATGCATCTTTTTATTTATCTTAGTGAGAGATGGGGGAGGGGGGGTTGGTTCTTTGAATCCATTTATTAACTCTCAAGCATGGAAACTGATCTGAAAGAAAGAGATATACCACAAAGTTAATAACATCCTATTTTGACAGCATGCTTGATTGTTTATCTTGGAAAAGACTGCAATCTTTTCCAGTTCCTGCTTTTTTTGTATTTCATGTGACCTGAAATGAATTATACGTTTGATACACCCCAACTTCACTAGGTTTGTGTTTTTTGTTTTTAAGAAAAAAGTGATTATTACACCTGAAATTTCCAAAGATAAATAGTAAATACCGAATACTGGTTTCTCCACCCACTCCAATCCTGCTGTGTTAGTGTGCTGGTACAACAGTTGGATAGCATTAACTAGCTTTTAAAAAACACTTACATTTGCTAGGTTTGACTCAGTGTTCTAAAAATAAACAACACAATTTAGTAGGACAGATGATACTTTTTTGGTGGATAATTTATAACATAGATTCACAAATATGATCAAACAAATTCAATTTCTTAAAAATTTATATAAATACTTGTAACACTACTTCCCTTATAATGCACAAATTTCAAGTAATTACACATAAAGCTATTAGATTGCCTCTGACATACAAACAATGCAAAATACAGACATATATGCAGTAGCACATAAGGAATGATGTAGTGCTTCTGACTTTTAATTGTAGGTATGATCCCAAAAATAATAACTCAAAATAATTCAAAAAAAGCTAGTTTTAAGTTTAATTGTTGGGACAGAATGTATTGTGGGTGGTGGTTGCCTGGCAGCTGCTTTTGCTTTGCTGGCCTGACTTGCTCGGACTGCAGTTTCTAGACGTATTTTCAATTCAGGAGCAGCTCCCATTACTGTCTTGAAAGCATGAGGGTAGAGGGGACCAATGTGCATTAAATTCTGGAGTGCAAATTCATGAAGATCTTTCGATATTGTAGATGCAGAAGCAAAAGCATTTTCATTCAGTAAATAAGAGATCAGAGTTGGAACTAGAAGAGCAAGCAACTGGACTCCTGAAAGTGAAAGAAGAAAAAAGCATAATAGATTAGAAATGAAAACTATATGGAAAATGAATTGTGGCAATAATACTGTTCCTATAAAAGAGCCATTACAGTCAAAGTTGAAAACAAACACAGCAATAATATAATAAAATCAAAGGAGTCTAAGCTGCAGAAGACCTTTTTTCAGGAAATCCAGTCTTTTTCCTGGCCGGTGTAGGATTTGGCTGTATTCCACATTTTCTAGAGTTTAATACACTTTGGTTCTGTTCCAGCCACTTCACTGGGGAGATTAGTACACAGCCTGATAGTGCTCACTGCTAAATCTGTTAAACTGCTAGGCATCTTGTACCTAAAAGGATCCTACAGGACTTTACAGATTGAGAAATCACTTCATCTTACTTCTGTAAAGCAGCCATCATGGGGAGTATGACATACCAGTTTAGGACACAAAGTGAAGAGTACCTCCATATCAGTTTGAAAATGCAGCAGGGAAATATAAGTATTGGTAGGATAATATAGCTACCATGTTTGGAATTTGACTAGGACACTGGCATACCTCTTACTCTGAATGTATGGTTTAGTGGTGAGAGTAAGGATTTTATGAATCAGAATTCCTGCATTCTAGACCCAGTCTTTGTTATTGACTCATTCTATGATTTTCAGCAAATCACTTATTCTTGTTATGCATCTGTTTCCCTATCTGTAAAATGGGCATACTATTAATCTCTCACACAGGAGGATTGAAGTGTATTTGTATAGTACTTTGAGAGCCCAAAATAAAACATGCCTTGTAAACACAAAGTAGTAGTATTTATTACCATTACTTTTGTGAAGAGCTTCCTGGTATCTTTAGTGACTACACTTGGTTAGGACCTTAGTTCTACTTTTTGTTTGAAAGATTATACCTCCAGTAGAACAGCACCACCCCACCCCACCCCACCCCCCCGTGTTGGTGCACTGGTTCAGGAAAGACTCATCTATTAAATTGCCAAGACACTAAAAGTTTCCCATCCAAGTTCTGACAAGCCCAAGTGTGCTTAGCTTGTGAGATGAGATGAGACAGCAACCCAAGGAAGAGACTGTTCTTGGAAAAAAATAAAAAGTAAACTAAAGCAGTCATTGCTGCTGATTTTTTTGAATAATCTAATTACAGCTTTATTTTGTTTAAAATAAATAATTATGTTAGACTATAAATTTTAAGTTCGTAATAAACATTTTTGGTTAAAGGATTTTTCAGAATATTACTCATTATGTTCTTATATTTTGGGGTAAATGTGAACTGAGCTCTCATGTAAGTAGGGGGACTGATATGTTTGGCTCTAACTAATGTTAACAAAAATCAGACGTTGGACAAATTTCCCCCCATACATTTCTACTAGTCTATCATTTCACACCTGCTCAGCTCAGCTATTCCAAAACCAGAGTGGCTCTTGAGTAAGTGCTGCCAATTGTATGTGGGGTTTTTTGTTTTTAATATGGATGAATATCACTGGGGAATATGTTGAAAACAGTAATCTTATTTACACATATCTCTCGGGTGTCAATTGGTTTCCGAATGCAGATTCATTTTTAACTTAACTGAATTTTAAGATATTATATGAATATTCTTTTCTGCGGAAAGAAAGTGATGTTACTCTCTTCAGACTTGCCCACAATTTCAAAGAGCCCTTCCAAACCCAGCATAGCTGTTTCTCGAGATAATCAAATAACTTTGGTGATGGGTGTAGTATTGGTAGAAATACCTAGATAAATAGGCAATAGGTCTGCTAAAATGGTCAGTAGTGAAAGAGGTAACAATTGGAGCAGTTCACAGCTCTCTATTACTTTTTTCCACATGCAGGCACAAGACGACAATACTACACCACATTTAGAAGTTTTCTTTACAACCACAAGAGGTAGGAGTGCTAGTGCAATCCTGGCATACAACAACCCTTGTCATGTAAAGCTATAATACAATTACAGGTTTTTGCATAATTTCAACCACCATTTTAACTGTATCAGCTCCACTACCAAATCCCTAATTACAACATTCCTGATGTAAAATGTTGTATTTCAGAGTTATTAGTGTTCTACAGAAAAAAAGATACTTACTATTCTGCTCCTCACCAAGGGCAACCAATGTTTCAAGGACTTTAATTCCTTCCTGGACTGCTAATAGCTCTGTGTTGCTGTTTGGACGGTTACCTTCTACAGCTTTCAGTTTCTCAACCATTATTGGTGCCAATGAATGGATGTATGGAGTTGACAGGGCACGGTTGGTGTGTTGGAATACAGAAAGTAGAAGCTGATAACACTTGGCTTGAACCTAATCAAGATAAATGCAAATCAGATAACTGCATCCCTGAATTGCACACTCAAAATGTGTTTTGTACAAGTAAGTAATATAAACACAAATTTTGTACATATATAAGTAGGAGAATCACTGCAAATTTGGGCCCTAATCTTTATCTATGGAAACAGGAGTTTGAGTAGCATTATGAGAAAGTAGTATTAAAATAAACCAGAGAAGGTTTAGATTTTTTTGGCCCAGTGGTCTTTTCCTTCCTAACATTTCTTACATTAACAAAGTTGTAACTTTTATAAATCTATATAAATCAAGAATTTGGCACAAGTAACTTGAAAATCCTACTGCAAAAGTGCCACGTTTTGTTATAATTGCCATTGATGCAATAGTTGTGATGGTTAATTTGTTAATTTGACAAGCAGGATCTGGTTACTTTTTGAAGTGAAGAAATTATAGATTTCAGGGAATTCAGAAAATGTAACGTTATTCCTAGTTACTTTGTGTCAAGCATTTAAAATATTGTGCACACTCCCACATGATGAGCTTACCCAAGGATCACAGGAATTCAATGCATTTTTAAATCTGTTAATGCAGCCATTCTGTAAGGACTGCACTCCAATTATTTCTGTACTTGCAGACCAAAGGAAGAGCGCAATCGCTGTAAGCATGCTTACTTCATCAAGAATAGACTTAGTGCCCTCTGAAAAACAAAAAGAAAAGCAGGCTGAGCTTATTATGAAAAGGTTTTGGAGTTTGTTTAGTAAATCCTAGTGTACTAGAATAATTCACAACAAAGAGATGTACTAGAAAAGACTTCAATTACACTCAAATATGTGCCTATTCACCACCACCAGAGTCACATTTTTACTATTAGTGGTAGTGGCTGATATAGTTGAGGTTGTTTAAGATGATTAACTCTAGTCTAATCCTCTTTTAAACTGCTTAAAACTTCCCGAAATTTCCACCTATGCAGCCAAAATTATTCATGCTTGGTCTCTGACCACAAGTATATTTTTATTGTTTTTAAAGTTTAAGCAAATACAAATATGCTATTTTTGAGCAGAAAGATGGTGGGGGAAAAAACATTATACTGTCCCCATTATAACCAAGTCTCTTGCAAACCCTTTCAAAACAGCCTCTGCAGCTGAAATGGCTGGGATATAGAAACCTAAAATCTAGATTGGGAGTAGCCTGCACTAAGGAGAAGGGTTCTTTAGTGTTCTGCTGAAAATTAGTTATGATTTGACTGTGTTAATAAGCCTGTTAAAAGCACACTGTCCATTTTGCTAAACTGGTGAAGTGTGCAACTTCATTCTGTCCTGAAAAGTGAACTGAAGGCATGCAAACCTTGCCTCAGTGCATGCACCTTGCAAGGAGTTAAATGAAGTCTCCTAAAGTCCACAGAAGGTCTACAATAAGTGTCAGTAGTGCTTGTGGAAATGGGGGCTTGAAGGTCCTTGAGCCAAGGTGACGTTGGGAGAGAGAAGTTTGATGAGACATATAACTAAAGAGGCCACCGAAAATTAATATGGGTTTGGCCTGGAAAACTTAATCCAATGATTGTTTCCTCTCAAAGATCTTAAAGGAGGGCATTGTGTAATTACTCTCTTGGCCCTTCAGATTTCACATGACCACTTCTGCCAAACTCTCCTCCCCCACTCCCCCCTCCCCCCGTTCAATCTATATTTCAGGCTATTTGGGGGTGTAGTGAGATGGTTTTGGCAGAGATACTCTCGGTAGGTAAAGGACATGCATCTCTGGATCTCTCTTTTGGGTCAGACAACATGGATTGTACCGCCTCTTTGTTCTTCTAGGGCAGAGAAGATGCTTGGATTAGAGGAAGCTGATTGAAGTCAGTGCAGACAAGATGGTGATGCTGCTGGTAGGCCAGGAGAAGCATCTAGGGGTTGTGGCAGGGGTATGGTTTTTCCCATTACTGAAAGGGTCACTCAGTCCTTTGTCAAGGAGATTTACAATCTGGAGATGCTTTTGGGACCTCACTTCTCTTTGATTCCCTGGTGATATCAGTGGCTAGTCTTTTACCCCTCTGTATTATGCTAGACTATATTGTGATCAATTCTCTGATGTGAATTTGCCACAGTCATCCATGCCTTTACTACCTTCACACTGAATTACTGTAGCGCTCACTATGATGAAGACTATATGAAGCCTATTATACCGATTCTCTTACAGCATCACTGGCTTCCAGTTTCCTTGAACAACAATTCCAGGTATTGAGTTTGATCTACTGCATACAGCTCGATACAATTATGGCTCTGCCTACCTGAGACACTGGCTCTCTCCCTATGCACCATTTTGGTCGCTGAGATCTGATTCTCTCTGGGCAGGCAGATATTTTGGGGTAAAAGGAAAAGAGGGGCATAATCAAAGATGATTCCTAGTTTATGGGCGTGGGTGACATGGGGGAGGATGGATTGTCAACAGTAACAGAAAGTGAGGAAGAGTTTGGGAAGGAAGACAAGGAGTTAAGCTGGTTGTGAGACGTCCAGGAGTTTTCAGAGAGACAGGCTGAGATGCAGGATTGGCAGAAGAGAGACAGGTCAGGAATGGAGAGGTAAATTTGTGAGTCAAAGGTACAGAGATGGTAATTGAAGCTGTGTGAGTTGATGAGGTTAACTAAAGAAAATGCACAGAAACAGAAGGTAAGTGTGCCAAGCCCCGTGAGAGACCTATGGAAACAGGAGAAGGGTGGGAGGCCTGCTGAAAAAGACACTGAGGAAATGAGCGGAGAGGTAGAAGAGAACTGATTTGTAAAAGCCAAGTAAGGACAAGATTTCAAGAAAAAGAGTATGATCAATATTGCCAAAGACAGCTGAGAGGTCAAGAAAGATGAAGATGAAGTGTGCTGCCCTGAGATGAGGCTGTATTATTCTAAAATCAGCATTGTATTCAGCATTACATACATTTTATACATTATATATACAGTTCACTATAATGCAGAGAGTTAGGCAGGCTTGTGTTAGCACTTAGATCTTTTCTCTGTTTTACAAGTTATGCTATGTTAATCACAGCTTTTCGTCCCCATAATCCTAACCTGATATGTAGCCTATATTATATTATATACAAACACGTAACATTCACTTCTCCATAACAGAAGCTTTAGCTTTAAGATGCTCAACAGGTTGAGAGTAAACTGCTTACCTGGTTGGGAGTATTCCAAGACAGATGCCAGAGTGCTGCGGATAAGACTAGTCCATTGTTTATGAGTTTCCTCAGTCTTGGCCATTGGAAGAGTTACAATAGTTTTTATCGCCTGAAGAGTTGCACTGACTGGTGGTGAGACCTGATTATCCACTGATTTTACTGCAGTTTCCTTCAATACTCTTGTAATCAGAAACAGGATTGTAGGTAATATTGTCATACATCCTGAAATAAAAAATAAAGTGCATTCTTGCAGTTAATTCTAACACCAGGTATGGTCCACAACTTCTTTATATTTCCTTAGTGGAACATCTCTTGCTAGCAATAGATATACCAAAATGTACTATAATTTATTTATGTGGTGGTAAATATAATTCAATAATATTTTAACAATTAAGAAACATCTTATTATAGTCCAGATATATTATATGACAATTTACTTCATTTGGAGTCATTTGTGCTAATGTAGTTAAAAAGCTGTCAGCAATTCAGGGATTTATAACTCAGCCATTAAAAATCTACTCTAGGTTGACAAGGAATGATTTTTAAAAATCCATTAAAGAGAGAAAGGATGGTCCAGTGGTTAGGGTACTAGTCTGGGACTGGAGAGATGCAGGTTCAATTCTTTCCTCTGCCCAGACTTCCTGTATAAGCTTGGGCAAGTCACCTAGCCTTTTTTATGCCTCAGTTTCCCATCTGTGAAATGGGGATAATAATACTTCCCTACTTCACAAGGGATAAATACAGTAAAGACTGTGAGATGCTCAGATATTATGGTAATGGGGGGCCACAAAGCACCAAAAATAGATAAATAACTGATTCTTCCCTGATTAGGGCTTCTTTTGCATCTCAATTGGAGCTAAAAAGAGCCCATACATGTAGAATTTGTACTTATCCTTCCCCCAGCTCATACTTAAAGCCATGAGTCTGGGCAGATAGCTTTCTGGCTGAGAAAACCTGGCCAAAATTCCTTGTAGCGGCCATCAATATCATTCCTTAACTGGTCTGAAAGGTCACTACTGAATGCTCCTTCTCAAACACTCCTTTACTCAGTCATCCCTGAAAGCAAGAAAAAATGGGACCAGGAATCAAATCATAGGCTCCTGCATGGCAGCAGTGCAAGACTCTGGGCTAGCTTATAGAAATTTTTTATTTTTAACTAAACATTTGCCATCCATTAATCACTAATTTGGACTACAGGCCAAGTATTTTTCAGAAATTATTTTCTCTACAATTGTTATTAACTTTGCAACTCACTAAGGGCTCAACCTCAAGAAGTGCTAAACATCTGCAATGTCAATGTAATTTCTTGCAGACATGAGAGAGGCCTCTGCTGTATTAGAACGAACAGGGCATACAGTGCAAATTTTGATTTTGCGCTTTTCCTGATGTCCTGTGACCTGAAAAGCGGGCACCCTTAAATTGCTCTAGAATCTAAACCTCACCATCAATAAATTAGCTTCACTTAAAGTGGTCTGCAACGGAGGTAACATTTTTAGTTACTGCTGTGTCACTTGGTCATTTCAAATGACTGGATTTGTCTTATATTTTTCATAAAACCCATTCATTTATGCATATGAAGTTATAGTAGAGTACCGGCTGGAGAGCACAGAGAAGGCAGGTCAGATAGGATGGTAACTGTGGCAGCCACAAGGCGAGCACTTTCTTCAGAGAGCTGGGGTTTGGCAGAAACATGACTTGGAGAGTCTGACATTTTGGGGCTTAGATGTGGCATGTGCCGTACTAGGATAAACATTAGTAGTTCCATGGCTGCAAAGACGAGAGATTTTCCAGGCACAAGGCCACCAGTCTCACCACCTTCTCCTAACACAAGACACGTTTCTTTTTCCTTTATGTCGTCTTCATCTGCAGTGAAAGACATTTGGTTAAATAGTAAAAAACCCAAATAAATATTAGATAAAATACACTGAAAGGTAGATAATACTTTGAGAAGAGCTAGAGGTTCACATTAATGTATAATGTCAGACAGATCACACAGGTTAAGAAAAATACTACTTTTAAAGTTAAAATGTGCTGAAGGAGTTTTAAATTGCCTTAAAGGTTTTGTGATTGTAACAATTGACTTTAAAATTCCATAACAAGCCCAGAAATTGATAACATTTAATAATTACAATGTCTGAAAACAGTTGCTGTGTTTCATACTTCTTAAAAAACTCATGTGGTAAAATTATCATCAAAAGATGACAACTTCTGCATGTTGCCAGGCACAATGTCGTGTGAAGTATATTAATACAATTGTTTTTTTCTTTATCTTAGTTATAAACAAATAAGATTTTTGTAGAAAAAATATTAAAGTGCTATTCCAATCTGAAATGTGACTCTAAAAATAGTATTGTGGGATTCTGTGTACTGTCTTTATGATGTTAGTATCAAATGTGCTCAGTTTATAAGATTTTCTTCTGAGTGGCAGACTTACAAGCTATGTTCTCTCCTTTGCCATTGTCAGTAATAAAGTCTAGTAATTATGCCCTCAATACCCCTATGCAACTCCACTGAAATCAAATGATGCTTTAGTGAACACATGTGCTGTCCCATTGCCTGCATGGGTTTGGAAAGACGTAACTTATTGGGTTTTAATAAACAATTCTATTGATGCAGAAAAAGGAATAAAATGCATTCCACTCTCTCTTAGCTGTGTTGGTTCTTTCTACAGCACTAATGGAAGTAAAAAGCAGTAAGCCCTTGCCCTGCCCCACAATCACCCCGATAAAAGGTGTCAGTGAAGATAACTGAGGGTATAACTATGAATACATTGAACAGATCTGTGGGAGAAGTAGGAGCCGTTTTCAGAGAAGAACCACACTTTAATAAATCTGAGTTCTTCTCCCAATTAGGAAATTTGTTGTTTTTTTCCTCTGTAAATGCAAACAACAGTTTTAAATTTGTTTGTTTTTTAAGTCTTACTTAGAGTGTTCCTTTTTTCTTGCAAGTAATCTTGAGCTGCTCTCACTATCTGCTGGACAACTCCTGTAACTAGCAGCTGGACTGAAGGAGGATCCCAGGTCAATAAGAGTCGATGCAGCACACTCAGAAGTTCAACACCAAGGAGCTAGAATAAATTAAAGTATTTTTTTTAATGTAAATTAAAAGTGAATGGTTCACAGACCCCTAATTATCAGCAAAAATGGTTTCTGGTTAATCTACTGTTATTCTTAGCCATAGAATATTTTTTTCTCAGTTTTAAAAAGCACAGTTCCTTTGGTACACACTAATTGTGTTTTTCAGTTCACTTCTGAGAGAATCATTTTTGCATATGCCCCACCCTTTATCCTGTTATATCATTTATTTACTCTAAGGGAGTGTTTTTCACTCACCATAACCTGGGATTTTTTAAAAGAACAAAAATGGTTAAATCTAATCCCAAGAGCGTTCAAACTGTGGTTTAGGAGGTTTACACTTGAGAAACACAAAGGATTGCTAGTAGGATTGTTCTCTCATTTCTGTTTTAATGGTAAGATTTAAAAGGAGAAAATTTTAAAAAAATGGGCAAGTGTGCTGATAAACAAGCCTAATGGTATTAAATGGATGTATTGGTTGAGTTTGGCAATTTATTGTCTTTTTTTTAAAAAAAATATTTTTTCACCTCAACTGATTGAAAACTAATGTTAAAGTCTGCTGGGGGATATGGAGATCTGATGCTGAAGGGAAAGCCTCCCACGGCCAAAGTAACCAACCACACACAAAAGGTGACAATGATATAACTTTGCCAGACTTATCCAGTAAGTAGTGTATTTCCCCCACAAAATAATAAATAATTAAAGCCCTTGTAAACACCATAAAGCTGCTAAAGGATGAAGACCCATGAAAACAAACTGTCTGAATACATCTGGGACATGGTTGTGATACTATGAGAGAAGTGGCATTAGGCCCACTGAGCTTATGTGAACTGAAACATCTTCTGAATGGTTGACCGTGGCTTTTATGCCACTTACTCAAGAGCAGGGGAGGGGACAACACATAATTGTTCACCCTCAACTCTGTGGCTAGCAAAAATCGAAGTAATTGTAAATAAAAAACAGAAAGAGTACTTGGTCTGCAGTGTTACTACAGGACTTCCATAGTACTTTCCTTATAAAGCTTTCTGCTCTACAAAAGTGTACAGTCTCTGTCAGAGATAATCATAAGATAGATCATCTGCTGTGATTTATCAGGCATTAAGGAAAAGAAAATGGGGTGATAAAGTCGACTGCCATGATCTTCAGATTTACTGAATTGCTATTAAAAATTAAACATGAGCCACCAATTAAAATGGAAAAGCTTTTTACAGATCCCACTTATTCCTACACCAAATCATCATGGCAAATTGAATAGATCTCCTAACCTCCAAGATATAGCAATATATTTCTGCTATGACAAACATTGAGTTTTGTTTATAAAGTTTTCCTTCTTGGATTTAGAATTCATGTCTCTCCCTAGGAGAATCTAGTATGTTAGATATTGAACATAATGAGTGAAGAATATTTCCAGTAGAGCTGCTCACAATTTTTTGACTGCTATTATTTTTTATTGAAATCTGTTCTTCATTCAAAAATGGAACTTTTGAAAAAACATTTCTAAACTGCCTACTTTTGAAAATTTAAGAAAAAAAATTTTAAATGAAAAAAATGTAGCACATTTTGTGTTTTGCAAAACGTTGGAGCTTTTCTGTTATTGTTGTTTTCTATTTGCAACTTTAATAGGTCAGTTTTAAAAAAAATCTGCTGAAAATTAAGGTAATAACCAATTTTTTTTACATCTACAGAAAAAGAAAAAATTGGATCATTATGAAAAACAACAAAAACATTTTGAATTTGCCTACATTTCAGTAATGCGTTTTCCCCCTAGTTTTGGACCAGCTCTAATTTTCAGGGATGCGGAAGTAAACAGAATACAGATTAATCACTGAACATTTACACACACACGCATCTAAAAACAGAATAAGCCACTGAGATTCCAACATCAGTAACATATTATTAGGCCTATGTACTGTACCTGATCCTCTGCAATATGAATTCTAGCACAAGGGGAATCCAGTAAAGTATGCAGTGCCTGTAAACAAGACGTGACATGTTCAACAGGCTCCTCAGGCCTGGGGGAACAGAGGAATTGTATACTAACACCTGAAAAGAAACACACAAAAATCTCATTTCTATACCAATATGATGAGGGTTGTTTTATAACATATTTAAGTATTTAAATGATGCGGAAGTTGGGTTTGTTTGAGGGTTTTTTAAAACACAAAAGTTATACTCATGTTTTATTTTTGCCATTGAGAGATATTCTTTGTGTTAAAAATGCCAGACCAGTCACTTTTTTCCAGTAAAACCAAGATTGAGACAGTAAATAGTAAATAATCATGGTCACTAACCTATAGATCTGGAAAGGAAACTAATTTTGTCATTTGCTTTTGCAAATCTATACATTAAAATCTGCCACTTTTAACTGTCTTTTTCAGTTTCTTTATAATACAATATTTTAACTGGAAAAAATAAACTGCAATAGAAGAGATTTTATTTTCGGGTATGACCTAGATATACAACACAATTCTTCAACAAACATTTGTATTATTATTACAAATGTTTAAAATTCAAATACTCCAATTACAGTACTTTCACATGCAATCTCTATAAAGAACTGCCACTATTTAAAGAAAGAAAAAACAACATTTATCTTTTAACAAATAATATGTCTCTGAGTTTATTGTACAAAAGTCTCAGAATTAATTATACGACTGTCAGTGCAACACTGTTTTACTAGTTATTTGTATAGCATGGATCAAAAACTACTGAAAGATATACACAGATAAACATAGAGCAGGGGTTCTCAAACTGGGGGTAGGGACCCCTCAGGGGGTTGCGAGGTTATTACATGGGGTGTCACAAGCTGCCAGCTTCCACCCCAAACCCTGCTTTGCCTCCAGCATTTAGAATAGTATTAAATATATAAAAAAGTGTTTTTAATTTATAAGGGGGGGGCTTGCTATGTGAAAGGGGTCACGAGTAAAAAAGTTTGAGAGCCACTGACAGAGTGTACAGCATGGGCATATATTCCAAATTCTACAAATCTATACACCTAGACGTTTCCATAGCCCCCATCACTATAGTACCTGAATGCCTCAACTACTAACGGATGCTTTCCTTACAACACCCCTGTGAAGTAGGAAGTACAGTACGATCCCCAATTCCACACATGACGAACTGAGGCACAGCATAGACCAAGTGACCTGGCCAATGTCACACAGGTCTTTACTGAATTATGATCTGATCAGGAGGTATAATCAGGAGTGCTGGAACAATTTTTAGGGGGGAGGGGGCTGCTGAGAGCCACTGAATCAAACTGTAAACCCTGTATATGGTGGAAACCACTTCAAGCCCGGGGGTGCAGCAGCAGCACCACCAGCACCCCTGGGTATAATTCAATCTAGCTCATGATTCTAAAATTATAGAAAGAACACATGTCTAGAGAACATAATTTGTATCATCTGAACTGTAATAAATACACGATATGTATACCTAATGACTTATTTTTAAACATAATGTAAAAATCAGATATAAAACTAATCTGGAAGATTTCATTAAAAGGACATGGAGCAGTGTTTTTCACAGCTATAAAAATCATTTTGGAGAGATGGGTTGCCAGGCTGTAAGTGTTGGAATGGACATATGTTCCATTTTAAACTGGCTAGATTTCAAGATGATGGTGTCCTTTTAATGCAACCACACTATGGTATTAAACTTTGAAATATGATATCATAAAGCTCTTACCTAAAATCAAGTGCATTCTATCTTTGTTTATCTCGGGCAAAGATTTAGTGGCAGGTGGTGTTCCAGGTGCCTGGTTTAACATGATGGACGAGGCACGTTTCTGTGAATTAGGCATTGCTGCAGCTGCTTCTTCTGGTGACTCAGAAGCATTAAATCCTGCACTGTTTAGCCAGAGTGCCACTGCATGTAGGATTGGAGCCCAAGAGTTCCGGTAGTGCAGTCTAGCTGTATCAATTGTCTCTGGAGTGTAAAATGCTCCACCTGTTAAATTAGCATACAAAGTACATGTGTGTGTGAGAGAGGGCGTATATTGTAAGTATACATTTATAGGGTACATTTGCTGATGTAGATATTCAAGTTTGATCATTGTTACTGCTACCTGCAGCACAATTCTCCATGTCAACAGGACTAGCAGGCATCTGTATCATTATGGCTGTCCCCATACCACTTCCTGTTCTTTGATATATTTTTTGCTAATAGATGATAAAGTGAGACTAAATTTCCTCCCTGTCCTAACTTTTTTCTATGCTGCATAGGACTGAGGGACATCCACAAAGACCCCAGAACTGACAAAAAGAACGACAAAGGACCAGGAGGATACAATGCAATCCAAGAAATATCAGCAAAACAAAAGAAATATTAGCCACCCTAGAAACCTTAGCCATAAAAAGCCAAGTACTGGCTCTATATCTGAGTCTCTCTTTTCCTTATTTAAGAAAAAAAAAAAAAAAGGTAAGATTTCTTAATTATGTCCCACTTACAAACAACAGCTTAAAAACGAACACCTAAAAGTTTGAAAAAATCTGTTACATTCGTCACTGAATATTAGGGTGACCAGACAGCAAGTGTGAAAAATCGGGACGGGGGTGGGGGGTAATAGGAGCCTATATAAGAAAAAGACCCCAAAATCAGGACTGTCCCTATAAAATCAGGACATCTGGTCACCCTACTGAATATAAACTCTCATTAATTTATAATTAAATTTGTAAAGTTATTAAAATCCAACTAAATCTTTTCAATGGAACCTTAACCTGGTTCAGCTGTTTAAAATGTTATAGTACACTGTAGTTCTATGGATATATTACAGCCTTCCATGGATTAGAATACAACACTTCATTGATTTCCTCACCAGTGGCCCCAAGCTTTCTTACATTTGAACCAGTGTTGCATGTACATATCAGTATTTTTCTGAGTTGGACTGTGAGCTTTTCAAAGCAGGGACCTTGTTTCTTCATGTGTTTGGTAAAATACAATATATGCCACTCATAGTCTAAAAGACCCTCAATCCTGCAAACCTGCCTATGCTTAACTTTAAGCACAAGTTGTCCCATTGACTTCAATTAATTTACTCACATCTGTAAAGTTAAATGCATGCAAGTGTTTGCAGGACTGGGGTATGTCTACTATTATTAAAATAATCAGAATGTGATCATTTATATTATTGACGACGCATGTATTATAATCTATTATTCAATTCTCAGACATTGTTTACTAATGTATTCTCATCTATTTTAATTCTTAGTCATTAATATTTTCAGTGTATTTTTATGTTTTTATTATTCTAAAGTACGAATTTAGGCTAAAATTTCAAAACATGTTTGACTACCTTTAGGCAGCTAAATCCATGTCTAGTCATCTAAAATAAAGTTGCCTGGTTTTCAGAAATGCTGAGCATTCACAACTCCCACAAGTCAATGAAAGCTACAAATACTCAGTATCTTTGAAAAATCAGAAAACTTTATTTTAGATAACCCTAGACATGGAGTTAGGTAATCCTGGAAATGACTAATCGTGTTTAAAAAAATGTGGACTTTATATTTGATATAAACTATAATCAGAGAAAAGGATAGTGTAAATTATAAGTTATGGGGAGACTTTGGGAATTAAATATATTTCAAAGACTTGTTTCATTCAATTTAGAGTGAGCAATTTTAGAATGAATTACACTTGGAGAATCTTTGTGTATTTTACTGTTGCTATAGTGCTCTGTGGAAATAAGAATTGCAATGAATTCTAACAAAACTTCATCTGTGTCACTGAAATGCCAGAGAAAGCTATGACTAAGTTTGAAATTCAAGTTAAATATGTTGGATTTGTTTCTGAACAGAATGTAGAAACTTCACTTGATTTTCTTTGGGCATGATCCTGCACTCATTCAGGTCAATGCCAAAGTTCCCATTAGCATCAATGGTGAAGTTTCAGGACTTTAGTGAAAATGCAATGTTATGATTGAGATATACTTCTATGAGTTAGTTAATCACTAACTTTACATTATTTCATCCCATTTATAGAACAGTTATTATAGGTAGTAGATATTTTAACATTTGTTCTACTCCAGTCATTTCAAAGACTGAACACGGCAACTAACACAACCTGACTCTAGAGACAAAGTGATATGAAATATAGCACCAAAAGACATTTTCAATTGTTGTACATTTTTCTAAAGTAACTTTTCTGAAAAAACAGAGGCATAAACGAAATAAAAGATGTTTGGGATGACATACAAAACTCAGTTGTCGTTTCACCACACAGCAGTAATAGGTCATCTCAAATGCACGCTGATGAAACTTTATACCACCACACAAAACATTTACTTCAGCCTTAGGATTTCTGACTATACATAACGAAAAAGGTATACATCCAAGTGTTAAAGTTATGTTAGAGTTTCTGTAAATGCAAAACTAATTTGGGAAGCAAGTAATTTATAGAAGAAATTCAAAATTCCTCCAACAATTCCTTACCAAGAGGTTCATTCTGTCTTTCATAATCATAAAAAAAATGAATTGCTGTGCTTACCATCTGGTGGAAGCTGACTAGCAAATTCAGCTGGTAAAGTCAAAAGAGCATAGTCTTTCAATGCAGCTAGCCAAAGGCGACTCAGAATAGGCAGCTCAGGTTGTACAAGTGTTATCAAACTGTCTGGAGGTAGCTCATCTACAGTACCAAAATCCTCATCATCATCATCCGTATTCTTTATTGCTCGCTTTGGTTTGGTCTCTGCTTCCTTTTTAATTTTCATAGCTACAACATACACCTATAAAAACAGATACAAAATTTTTGCTTTAAAATTCTAAAAAGAAAAAGAAAAAAGCCTTCTTTCAATAAAATGACAAATTGCACTTGTAAATGACCTTTATTTTAGCTGTTATGGAATATCATGAATAGTTTTACATTTTTTGACAATCTGAAAATACTGCAAAAATACTGCAAAATATCATACTGGAAGATTTTATGCTACGCAATAGATGGAAATAAAGATAGGAAAAATGAAAAAGCTATTAGGTTTTATCAGTCTATATTTCCAAGTTAAATATGAGTTTGTTGCTAACATTCACAGCACAGTAGCCAATCTGGCTACTAACACTTTAACCTGAAGAGTGCCAGTTAGGGCTCTTCTCACAGAAAATGCACAAATTTAACTAAATTAAATCTATTTAGGAATCAGTTTAGTTACATCAGTGCAACTCACTTGTGGGTTTACTCTTAAATCAGTTTAGGAAGGAATAAAATCAATTTAGTTTCATTCTGGTCACTTTCTGTGTGTAGCTCAGGCCTTGTGAATAAGTGTTCCTTTTTTTTTTTTTTTTTTTTTTTTTTTTTTTTTTTTTTTTTTTTTTTTGATTGTGTACTGTTCTTTAAAGGGTCTGTAAATTGGTATCTGTGGTACCCAACATGGAGGGGCTGAGGGAAAATTTTAAAGCACTTACACAAGGACACATATTACGCAAATAAGGAGAAAGACTGGGGGGAAAGATTTGCAATAGGAACAAAAAGCAGTGTTTTTAGAAAAGAAATATAGCAGACATAAATGTCCCCACACAACAGATGCTTTGCTTCAGATCAAAGCTGAAAATAGCTTAACACTACAGAGCTGAAGTGCTAATACTTTCCTTATTTTCTCAAAATAACTTCCAAGGAAATTAAATGCAAGAGAACTACAGTATGTTAATGCAATAGAGAAAACAAAGACCTGCTTGTACTCAGCTTCTTCAAAACACTATTCACTACTTCTATTCAGTAAAGTAACACTTTATAAAACAATGCACAATGGCATGTATAGCAAAGTTCACACAAAGCAGACTCTTTAATCAGTACTTTTATTTTTGCATTATAAAATGTATAGTGCAAATGGTTTCAGAAAAGCTTTAGAAAGACCTGGACCAATCTGTGTTCCATTTGGCACACCATATTCAGGGTCCTCTGTAATAGCTTTCACATCACACATGCTCATTAAATACACCCACATTTAAAAGGTTATTCACAATACAGTAGTTCCAGCCAACAAAAAGAGCATCATCACCATTAAAAATACAGATAAAAATGTTAAATTAAACCCGAACATTTTTACAACAATATTTCATCATTTAGACTGTCTTGCAGCACAGTATTTAAATTTTAAGAATATTTTCTGTCCAATAATTTCTTATGCTCACTATCTCATCTGACTCCTATATTAACTTTTGGCCTGATTTTCAGAGTTACTAGACTCCCTCTGCTCCTATCAACTTCAGTCATAGTTGTGGGAACTCAGCCCTTCTGAAAATGAAGCCATTTTTCTACAACTTCATCAAACTACTCACACTGCTAGAATGACAGTTCATAATGCTTAGCCAAACATTCAGATAGTTTCTCTTTCAAGTCCCTTTTAATTTAACCCATATGGACATCCTAATTAATTACCATACACAATGTTATTTGTGAAATCCATCATTTTTAGATACTTGTATGTTCCTTGGTATCTTACATTCCCAAACAATGACTTCAGTAGCCCCGTAGTTTATTATTCCCTGTTTGGGGAATTCCTGGCAAATTAGTAGGGCCCTACCAAATTCACGTTCCATTTTGGTCAATTTTATGGTCATCGGATTTTAAAAATCATAAATTTCATGATTTCAGCTATTTAAATCTGAAATTTCCCGCTATTGTGATTGTAAAGGTCCTGACCCAAAAAGGAGTTGTGGGGTGGTCACAAGGTTACTGTAGAGGGGGTTGCAGTACTGCTACCCTTACTTCTGTGCTGCTGCTGGTGGCAGCGCTGCCTTCAAAGTTGGGCAGCTGGAGAGTGGCAGCTGCTGGCCAGGATCCCAGCTCTGAAGGAAGCGCTGCTGCCAGCAGCAGCGCAGAAGTGAGGATGGCATGGTATTGTATTGTCACCCTTACTTCTGCACTGCTGCCTGCAGAGCTGGGCCCTTAGTCAGCAGCTGCCACTCTCCGGCCGCCCAGCTCTGAAAGCAGCAGCACAGAAGTACGTGTGGCATGGTCAGGGCCGGTGCTACCATTTAGGCCAATTAGGTGGTTGCCTAGGGCGCCAAGATTTGGGGGCGCCAAAAAGCGGCGCCCCCGGTACTACCTCTCTTACTTCTGGACTGCTGCTGGCGGGGCGCTACCTTCAGAGCTGGGTGCCCGGCCAACAGCTGCCGCTCAGCTCCGAAGACAGAACAGAAGTAAGGGTGGCCATACCACGACCCCCCCTAAAATAACCTTGCAACCCCCCTGCAACTCCCTTTTGGGTCAGGACCCCCAATTTGAGAAATGCTGGTCTCCCCCATGAAATCTGTATAGTATAGGGTAAAAGCACACAAAAGGCCAGATTTCACAGGGGTGGGGGTGGGGGACCAGATTTCACAGGGGGGGGGGGGACCAGATTTCACAGATTTGATGCTTTTTTCATGGCCTTGAATTTGGTAGGGCCCTACTAATTAGCTATGCTTTGATTTAACCAGCTCATACTTGAATTTTGTTTTTAAATTAACAGGCAAGGGCATGGGAAGGAAATCAACGTTTGACAGAGTCTGGAAATTCTGGGGTGTGCACAATGGGTGGGATGGAGGAAAGGTGGAGCTGTGGGGCAGTCGTGGGGAGGAGAGAGAATAGAAGCAATGTGACAAATGTGGACAAGTTAGATAGAAAGAAGATGAAGCACTCCAGAGACAGACGTGGAGAACCAAAAGCCTGGAGAGGGTGGGAGGAAGTCAGAGTAGCTGGAAAAGAGAGAAGGTTTGGGGCTGGCTGGCTGGCCAGCTGGCTAAAAGGATGAGAAGTTGCAGCTATGCTACAGTAACTAATCTGAGGTATAAGGTAAATATTAATGCTGAATGTTTACCTCAGCCCAGGCTTTCAGGACTGCCAGTTTTTCCATAGTCGTGGCACTCTCTCGGTAAAGCTGACTGGAAGACCCCTTTCCCGCTTGCACTTTGTCCAGGGAGGAGACAAGGAGATTGTGAACTCGGCGAAGATCATTCAGGTCACTTACAACCTCACTTCCTATCCATGTGCTACATACCTAAGCAAGAACATTTAAAATCATTCTCAAAGGGTTTTTTGGAAGAAATCATGCACAATGATACCTGCTCAAGCAAGCACAGATTTTTATGCCAAGTTAAAATCTTTCTGTAACATATCCTAATAGCCCCCTTTGACAAACAACAGCCTAGCTAAGTTTTTCCTTTTCATGATATTCTAGACCGCTTAAGTCAGTAGTTACGAGCATAAGCTGGTGTTTGCAGAGCTCATGGCATCTGCAATTTATAATGTAGATACCTGTAAAGTATGCCAGGCAATATTATGCAGAGATGTTTGTGTTTATTTATGAACCACAGTAACTAGTAGAAACAATAACATTTTTACTCTGTTTTTGAGTATGTCAGCCTAATCATGCAAAATACAATTTTTTTCATTACATTTGTTTTGAATTGTGTACTGGATACTAGCCCTTTTAAAAGTAACCTATAAACAACTTTTTTTTTTAAATCTAGCAATTGTAAAATTACATACTAAATGTCCCCAAAATCACCAGAATAAGAGGGGCTTTAAAGCACACTAACAACTTCTTTCCTGTTTCACGTTACTTTTTAAAAAGGGTCCATTTATCCATATGTTACCATGTCTGTAAAAGGTTTTTTCCCAAAACCATGTCCTAAAAAAGTCAATAAAACATTTTTTGGAACTATGAGTGGGTTTTTTTGTTTTTTGTTTTTAATTAAACAGATCCTTAAGATTTAGACATCATGTAGACCACCTGTTCAGCACTATACCCCAGCAATCATCCTCTTAAATACAATCACACCCTCGAAGCTGTAACACCACAGAAAGGAGCCAATTTATAGGGGTTCTGTAAAGTTAAAGATTTCCAGTGGGGATAATGTCTGTGACAGGCCTTATTACAATTACTAGCTTTGTCTAAACTGAGCTGAATAATGCACCTTCCCCCAACTCCTTTCCTGGAGAGAAGAACTGTGAACTGGGGGTATTTTCCAGTATTCCTGCATACTGATAATGTGTCTCCCATGGTAGGCACAGTAGAATCTTAACCCACTCCATTGTAAGCAGCAGTAGCAGATTCCCCTCACACCTGGAGGGAAGGCACTGGAAGAATTTTGTGAATCTCCTTCCCTCAATACCGACAGGTTACAACATTTTCCCCTGGACAATGGCAATTCTTTAATCCCAGTGGGGACTGTTGGGCAGGGAAGGGGGAAGAGGGAGATTCATGGGGCTCAAGTTTAAAAGAAATGTCTCTCTCTCTTAGCTTTCTGGTGCAGCTGGTTAAAAAATAAAAAATAACGAAAACATTCTCCACACAAAAAAATTGTCAATTTATTTTCTGTGTTTCTTTTAAGTTTTCCAGACCAGCTATAGTTGCTGGTCAAATTCTAGGGTGGCAATGGGGCTCACTCTCCCAACAGAAGCTCCCTGTTTTGGACAGGCATAGGGAAGACTTCTATAAAACCTACTTGTAACAAATTCACAAGCCATTAGAGGGAACTGAAACACAAATGCTAACCAAAGGCCATCTTCCTCCTCCCTAGCAAATAGCAACCCCATTGCAGTATTACCAAAAGAAAGCAAAAAAACAGTTCAATGCAGCTCATATAGGCTCATCTCACTTCTAGACACAGATGAGGAAATTAGTTTGCAGAGTTTGTGTGAAAACATTTAAAGCTCTTTTTACTGTCCAAACCTTGTCTCCCCTATTTGAGTCCCATTTGATTTGGATGTTTTGGTGCTGGCTTATTAGCAGTCATCTAACCCTGCAAACTAATTTCCTCATCCTAGCACTGAATGCAGAAGAAACTTTCAGTAGGGTGAAATGGACATAGGTACACATGGTATCAGAATTAGATTCAGAGAGAGATTCCACAACCTGAGTTTAAGCCCTATATTCAATGGTAAATCACCATTACCTCAAATTATTTGATCAGATTAAAGATACCTATTTCTCAACAGATCTGTTAGCCTCACAACAACCAAAACAAAACAACACTATATGCAAGTCCCATTTTCAATTATGGTTAGTAGCAGAGAATTGTCGAAGTGCCTACTAGCCCTAGAAATGGACCAGGACCCTTCATTTAAAAACAGAGATCAATCAAGTTACAAACAAGTATTTACATGTAGCTATTTACTACTGGTTGCAGAAAGGCAAAATAAAAAGATTTCTTAATGTAATGCCCCAAAGGATTTCTGCACTACTGAACAACAAAATATATTATCTGGAGCCTCTTTCAATGCTCCTAATAAATAAAGTTACATCATAAGTTTCAAAATTTTCCAGTACTGGGGATATTTACTACTATTTTTCTTTTCTCACTCTTTTTCTAAAAACAAGAAAAAAATCACACACACGTACTTTTGAAATATGTCAAGTTTTTACTACATAGTCTTAATATTTTTCTCTGTACCTGGCAGGCTTTTGCTGTTATGTCAGAAGGAGTATCTTGGGAAAAAGCTGGTCTTAGAGCAGCTCCAACCTACATAAAAAGAAAAAAAAAATCAGCTTAAATGAGGCTTACAAACACACACAAAATGTATAGAGCATAACAGAGCGCTGGATTTGGCATCAAAACTCCATCAACAGTTATCATTGTTTTTTGTTGCCTATAGAAATTTATAATACTATGCCTTTAAAAATAACTTTTGTACTGCACCTTTCACCCGCTCCTCCCTACAAGGAGCATCTCCTTTTTGAACCACATTTATCTTTGTCACATACAAACATTGTGTCCTCTCATATTATTGAGAATCATTCACATCAGAAATGCTGAATCATGAAATTGCTATTATTATAGGCCTTATTAATTATCATGGAGATATTCCCATAACAGCTACAGCTATCTGCCCTGTTACTATTTTCATTGTCTTTCTATAGATGCACTTAAAAACATCTACCATTTGAGAGATATTACCATTGCTACTGGTATTCCTCATTTTAACTCTAATTATCTATCAAACCAATAGGATCTTTCAAAATAGAAAATAATTTAAGTGCAACCACTGTAGATGTCCACGGTTCTTTACACATAGTTTAAACAGGTCCCTGGTAGTGGGGAGTTTACAGCCTATACTTGGTCAACTACTGCTGTTTCTAAGGTTCTGTGGCTGCCAACACTACACATAAGGAATGGTGGAACCCGTAGCCTGAGATAGCTGAGCCCAGCAGTTAAGGGCAGAGTAAGCCTGAAGCTGGGAGATACTCTGAATGACGTCAGTGTTCCAAAAGAAGTGATGCCTTGGTTGGGAAAGTTTGATACTAAAAAGTTTCAAAGGGCTTCACTGAAATCACCTAACATGCAGTTTGAAACAGTGCTGAGACACCGGGCTGTGATAGTATCTCCCCATAATTTGGATACACTGCTGCAGAGCCCTGCGTTCCCTCAGAGAAATTGCATGGAGTCTCAACTCATGTTTCCTCAAGACAGTTTGAACCCTTTGAGATTTTCATAGCTCGATTTGCACTGAATTGACAGGAATTATGGCGAGGACCAGGGGACTTTCAGGCATTTTTTCTGGGACAGGATTGTTCATGGCAACATCCGTGAGCAAATCTCACAGGCTGAGACAATCAGGAGTCTTTCTCAGGCACAGCATGAATTGTGCAATCTATCAGGGACATTATTCAACTGAATTCTGAACAGTTATAGTCACTGAGACACTTCTCTGTTTTGAGAAGGAAAGGCAAAGAGAACAGAACACACGCACACAAATACAGCAAAAGTCATCTCAGAGTTTGATGTGCCAGAGAACTGCTTTGACTGGTAATGAAGACTTGGAGGTTGAGAGTGAAAACAATGGTCTCAGTGGAATGGGAGAAGGTGGGCATAAAATACAGGATACATCAATATGGAGGCAGAACTTGGGCCAGAGCACAGTAGGTATTCTGAATGCTGGAGAAGGATAAGTGGACTCAAAGCTCTGGATGCACTGACAACTGAGCACTATCCTCAGGAAGAAAGGTCTCAAGGAGTACGAAAACATCCCAATCAGGAATGGAAGAAGGAGACGCAAAGACTTAAAAGAATTAATTACACTCCATTCTGGCAGGAGCTGGCGTACCACAACTGAATTTTGTTTTCTTTTTAAAGGAGCAGAGCAATGAATACCAACAATGGAGCACTTGCAAAAAGTTATGGGGAAAAGGCTAAGTAGTAAAGCATCATGAGATTCTAGATGCTCCAGAGCTGAAGAGCTGGTTGAAATCCCAATGAAACAGAACACTAGAGCAGGGAGGATAACTAAGCAGCTCAGGAGGTGTGTTATTAAATTGACCAACTGGAATCAACACCTTAGAACTCTGAGACAAGTATCGTCAGAGAGTAATTCCTTGTATTTGGGTATGGGCAGGTCTCTGGTGATCTTTGTGATTGCAGTTTCACTGGAGTGAAGAAAGCAGAAGGCAGATGGAAATGGATTGAGCAAAAGGGGGGGAGGGGGAGACAAAGAAACCAAAACAAACAGCACTATCAGGGAGATTCTAGGTACATGAAATGAGAGGGTAGGTGAAAAGGTAGCCAGAGCCAATGGCAGGACTCTTCAGGATAGGGGAAGCAATGTGGGAAATCGGCCAGAGATCAGAGAGGGGTTGAAGATAGGGGGGCAGGATGGTGTTGAGAGAGCGTGCAAGCCCAGGGGAGACCCTGAAGCAAGAGGGACTGGGACTAAGGGACAGGAGTAGGGGTTATAGGCAGACAGAAAGACGGAGAGCTCCAAGTCAAAGACTGGAGTGAAGGAGGACAAAGTTGAAGCGGAGAGTTGATAAATCCCTGACAGATAGTGTCAATCCTGTCTTTCAAAGTTTTTGACAAGAGCCTGAGCAGAACAGAATAGAGAAGGGGTTCTCAAACTGGTGGTCGCAAGGTGGTTACATGGGGGTCATGGGCTGATAGCCCCGAGCCCAGCTACGCGTGGGGGACTGTCAGCCTCGAGCCCCTGTTAAATTTAAATTAAATTAAAAAACCCAGAGTTTAATTTATAAGGACCGGGGTCGCACTCAGAGGCTGTATGAAAAGGGTCACCAATACAAAAAGTTTGAGAACCAATGGACTAGAGGAAGAATGAAGGAGTGAACAGGACAGAAGAGAAAGTCAAAAGTGCAGAAGAGCTGCTGAGTGAAGCACGCATGGGACTTATTCAGGGAGCACAAAGCAAAGCCAAATGTACAGTGGTTGAAACCAGCATAGTCATGAGACTTCCACTACAGTTGCTCCAGTTCCTGTTGGAGTTGTGCTGTCAGGTGGGAAGAAGCCAGCAGAGACCCCTGCCTCAACAGTTAGCCTTCTCCTGCAACAGATTTCCCAGGAATTACAGAATTAGGAAGCTGCACTGCCTCTCTACTTCTCTGACCAGATAATCCCTCCCATTCAAAGAGACAATTCTATATAAATTAGAATCGAGTGTCCTGTCACTTCTAATTCCATTCCCATTGGTTCTTCCACAGAAGGGGATGAAATGGACCAGTTAATTAAGTTTAATTATAAATTGGAGATTTTATATTCCATATTTTGTACATATCAGCAAAATATGCGTTCAAGTCAAGATTGGTAGACTCTAAGTAGGGCTCAGTTTTATACCTTATGCCGGGGTGGCCAACCTGTGGCTCCGGAGCCAGATGTGGCTCTTCAGAAGTTAATATGCGGCTCCTTGTATAGGCACTGACTCCGGAGCTGGAGCTACAGGTGCCAACTTTCCAATGGGCCGGGGGGTGTTCACTGCTCAACCCCTGGCTCCGCCACAGGCCCTGCCCCCACTCCACTCCTTCCCGCCCCCTCCCCATAGCCTGCCATGCCCTCGCTCCTCCTCCTCCCCCCCAGAGTCTCCTGCACACCACGAAATAGCTGACCAGAAGGTGCGGGGAGGGTGGGGGAGCCGCTGATCGGCAATGTACATTGGTAAATTCTGGCTCCTTCTTGGGCTCAGGTTGGTCACACCTGCCTTACGCCATAAGATTGTGAAATCAAACACACGATAACTTCAAAAGTTAAGGTCTCCAAAACAACATGAAATCAGTCATGCAGCAAATGGTATTCTTTTAACAAAATAAAACCATAAAGACAGGAATCAGAATAATTGCATACTTTGCACATACATATCTCCCTTCATCTAAAGATCGTAAACTGCTTTATAGAAACATGAAATAACTGAAAGGGGCATAATGAGTTTGAAACAATTTTTGTCATTTTATAGTCACTCTTCAATGTTCTAAAGAATATTTCTCTCCCCTGTTGCTGTGTGAAAGACCCCCACAAAAACCGTGGAAACTGACCAACTGAAATCCTGATCCGGCAAACATTTACATATGTGCTTAAATTTTGCACTGAAGTCAATGAGACAAGATGTGTGTAAATATTTGCAGAATCAGGACCAATAGTGAAATTGACTATCTAAGCAAAGTGTTATCAAATGCACAAAGTAAACAAACAGAAAAAACAGAGGAAAAATGTAATCTCTTCCAGTTACAGTAATTTTAGGGGTAACCCACTATTGTCACAACTAACTAATTCCAACCGAAAATGGTTTTTATATTGGCTGTCTCCTTTTAACTCTCACAACACTCCTGTGAAGTAGGGGCTCAATATCATTCCCATTTTAAGAATGAAGAAATTGAGGCACAGGGTTTGAGGGACTTAACCAACCTCACACAACAAGTCAGTGGTATCCAGGAATAATAAGCTCAGATCTCAACTTCCATTCCTGCGCTTTCACAGATTTCTGGCCTACGTTACAGAACAGGGGCACATTCATTAATCCCTGAGAAAAATAGATGTATTCGGTTCAATCTGGAATGGAATCAAAGTGCTCTTTTCAAATTTCTAATTCTGCCAGAGAAATGGCCATTACGGTTGCCAAAATATAAATGTTCATCCTAATATTTGGATTTCAAGGATCAGTGGCTATTGATTTTTTGGAACTTTTGCCAGTTACTAAATTATAACCAACAGGTAGAGGAGATACAGAAATAATTTTGAACAGGTAAATAAATTGGTGTCTGTAGTACATTCTCACACACACAACGTTTCTTCACAAGTCATTTAAAACTACAAACTGTTCTCAAAACTGACACTGGCATATTGACAGAAAAATATACAATTTCCTAAACATATAAAGAAGGACTCACATTAGCCTGATACTGCTCCAGTATCACATGACCGGGAAACTCTGGCTCAGGAACTGATGCAAATTTCTTGATAATATCTTCAAGTGCCTGGAGACCAGCCATCCGCAGCTGGTTGCTGTGATCAGTTGCAGCCATGAATGCCATACGGATGAGGTCGGAGAGATGGAGCACTAAAAGATCATCTGAAAATAAAAATAATAAAGCCATTAACTAAGTTAAAGATATCCAACTGATGTCCATATACAGACACTTTTAACTAGTCACAAATTTCTAACAGGGAGAGTTTGTTATAATATGTAAATTTCGCCCAATCTTGAAAAAAAATTAGTTGCGTATTTTGAAAAAAATTATTTCATTGAATATACTTTTCTTTTGATTATTAATATAAATGATCACTTCAGATTTCTGAAATGCCTGTTGTGAAAAACTAAGTGTTATGAATTTGAATCAAAGTAAACGGAAAGGTCATGAGAAAAAATTGCTCTGAATGCTAAAATACTTCATGTCTGCTTTGAGAACATTTTGCAAAAACAGATTTAATAACTTGTTCCTCATGTCCACAGAAAACCTTGAATGCAATTGCTGTTACAATCCTATGCCTACAGTGACCCCTGCTGATAAAGGAACATCTGATCAATTCTAAAACTCAGGTACTGTAGCCAGCCACTGAGTATTGCAGGTGGTAATAATATTTATTTGTCCCAAAGAAGTGGGGGCATAACCCCATTTGCACCCAAACAGCTGGCTCCAGACCCTGGGTAAAAGAAAAATGTGTGACGACAGCAAGGGGTAGAGGAAAATAATCCAGAAATCAGTAACATTTCTGTGGGGACTTTTCTTCATTTGTTTTTCTTAACATTCTAATCTTAGCTTTTAATGCCAGATATTGTAAGTAATTATTTTTAAAAAATGAATTTCCTTAATTTATTAAAATGTGATATTGAAAAGGAGTAATAAAAATCAACAGAAAAGAAGTAAACCCTACAGATGTTATTTTCAAGTCTCTAGATTTTAAAAGAGTTTGTAACTGGTTATGCGAGAATATCTGTGAAGAATATAATGTGAGGAAACAGCACACTATTTCTGAAAAATTGCTTACTTTCTCATTTTTACCATATAATTATAAAATAAATCAATTGGAATATAAATATTGTACTTACATTTCAGAGCATAGTATATAGAGCAGTATAAACAAGTCATTGTCTGTATGCAATTTTAGTTTGTACTGAGTTTGCTAGTGTATTTTATGTAGCCTGTTGTAAAACTAGGCAAATATCTAGATGAGTTGATGTACTCCCTGGAAGATTTCTGGGTTCGTGTGCCCGTGGTTGAAAATCACTGTGTTAGAGTGTAAGGAGACTTATTTATTGAGGTGTGGGGTCTGTCTGGGAAACTGGTCAATGTGATATGTGGTGAAGAAGACATGTTAAAGGAGGATACCTTAACTGGACATTTCTTTGCTTTTAATAGTTTGCATGGATACCTTTAATAGTTTGCATGCTCCCCTTACTCAAGCTTACCTGTTCTTTAACCAAGTTTTCTCTTTGTGGGTATCTAATACCCTTAATATCTCTCTTTACAGTTAAGTTAAACAAAAACACATGCAAATCCTTTAATTACTTTTAGGGTTTCTGAGTTTGGCTGAACGGGCCATGGCCAGATCAAAGTGAGCCTTATTCGCATTCTCACACAGCATGATAATTCGACACAGGCAATCGGCAGCAAATACACGAGTGGCCCAGCGAGGAGCCACAGAAGGCTTCGATTTATCCTCTTCACCCAGAGTGGTAAACATTGTGTCATCATCCATCTCATCTTTCTTCTCCGATTCTTCATCCTTTCCTCCTCCCAAAGGAGCTGCAGTGCTCATGTCTACAACAGAGACACAAAGTTATAAAAGTTAGCAATTCCACTGTTAGTAGTAATTTTTCAAAAACAATTTACAATGTGAAGTTGTCAACTCTAACAATCCATTCAAAATTAAAATGGAGACTAACTTTTCTATAGAAATTATGGCATTTAAAAATGGAGAAGGGCACAGTAAAGGAATATTAGTAAGTAAAGATGTTTTTTCCCTTCAGCATACTAAGAGTATCCTTCATCTTTTTGACAGATAAGAAAATGACATTCCTATAACTCTAGCTCTCTGAAGGTATCTATTACAAGAAATCCCCACTTCCGGGTCCTGTAGCTTAGAAATTTTAACTGTTAAACTGTCAATGCAGAGGATACGGATGTTACGCATGCTTGAACTCTCATTCTCTTTTCAAGTAAAAGATAAAATGCATATTAAATGAAAACAAAATGAAAGGCCAATATTGTGAGAAAGGCAAGTGGGCAATTTATTATAGCAATACACACAAACATGTTTTGAGAACAAGCATTACAGGTACTGAAAATAATTTTCTTTTCTCCAAATTTGACTACTGTAATAGATTCCCAGTTCAGGAAATGAACAAAGCGTCAGGGATTTCAACAAAAAGGCTATTAGCTAGAAACTGATATGCAAAACCTCAATGTCCAGTTCTCAGAGCATCAAAACGATAAGGGAGTACACCAAAGCTACCACAGCAACAAGAAGAAATTTATCAGAGGGATAAACTATCTCAACTGAGCCACCCCATTCCTAAAAAATAATACACTTAGGCTGCAGAAGAATTGGGGCATTTTAGGGTGAGAAAGGTTGTGCAACCTTTGCAAAAACATGCCAGAAAATACATGTGGCTGACCTGAAAATTGGCTTTGCACATGCCAATACATCTCGAACCAAAGAGATCTCAAAATAAATTTGAAGTTACTGGCTTACTGAAGAGCAGCAGTGAGAAATGCATTTAAACATGGTTCTCTGGAAACTATTTGGCCTACTGTACAAGTGTCAAAAGAAAAAGCTGAATGCATATTTTACGGATTTTAGAATCTATTCCAGATAAAATGAAAGAGGACCTTTTAACATCAAGCCCATTAAATAAAGTGCCACTACAATAGGGACGTGGGTGTGAGGAAAATGTTAGAAGGATAACTAATTTGTAAGTAGAAATCTGATAACACCTTTGGAAGGGCTCTCATTTGAATCCATAGCTCCACATTGTACTTATATAAAATAGTGTATGGGAGCGGAGTAGAGAGACTGATTTACACCTGCTCTGCAAGGTGAAGTCAGGAATAAAATCTTCCAGGAAGGAATTTTGAGTGAATGAGTAGCTCAAAAGGAGGTTTAATCAATGTAGTAAACACCACATTAATAACTCACAACACCTCATAATCAGTAGCGTAGATAGCGGGGTGCAGGGGAAGCAGCCGCTTCCCGTCACCCCTTTTCCCAAAAGCGGTGCCTGCCAGGCCGGCGCCGGGGGCAGCACTGCCTGAGGAGCCATGGGGGGGGGGGGGCGGCAGGCGCGGCCGGAGGAGAGAGGGGGCCGGCTCCTCGGCCATCGCGCCCCAAGCGGCCCCAACATTGCCGCAGGCACAGCCACCTCCTGCGGCGGCTCAGGGTTCGGCGGCCAAGCACTCCCCGCCCGGAGCCGGAGCCGGGATCCACCCGCGGCGCCAGGATCGGCCGGGGACAGGCGGCGGTGCAGGACAGAATGTTAGCGGCGAGGGTCCGGTGCCTTGCACTGGGGGGTCCCCTCCGGGTGAGGGGCTCCCCGGGTCCAGGTCCGCAGGGCAGGGGCGCAGGCCGCGCTGTCTGGACGGGGGGCCCTGGCACAGCGCAGGAGCCTGGAGCCCCGGGCGGGGGGGACGGAACCCCGCGGGTGGGGCCGGGCGGCGCAGCCTGGCGGGGGACACCTGCAGAGCGGGCTGGGCAGGAGAGACTCTCCCGGGACTGCGGGGGGACGGGGGTATCCACACCCCCGGGAAGCCCTCAGGAGTCCTGAGCCGGGCGCCGGGGTTAATCTGGGGGGGAAATGGGAGGAGCCAAGGGGGAGCGCCTTTTTTCTGTTTGCTCCCCCTACACTTAGACCCTGGCTACGCCACTGCTCATAATGGGAAGTTTTAGATGCAAGTAATACTCTTCCTTCTGTATAAACCAGAAGTACATGAAGGACCACCTTCATTTTCAGGACATCTCCAGTAGTTGCCATTAAGAAATCAGAATTTGGCAACAAATATTAGACAGTGGTATTTGAGATAACTTCCCCCAGACTCCAAACAGGAAATAACTGTCAAGTAGTTATATTTTAATTGAACCACTACATGTGAAGACTGGATTCCTATGAACACCAAGAGTCCTGAGTATTGAAATTTTCTGTAACAATATCTAGGCACTGATTTTATAGCCAGCCTGATCTCATCTGGTTTGTCCCAATACATCTCAGGCAACAGTCATATCTGTCTGCAAATGGCACTTTATGACTGCACTTGGAACATCTCTTAAAGCCTCTAGATTGCTTCTCTGATAACCTGAACACTAAGGAAGAAAAAGAATAAAAATTTTATACAGTGAAACAGATCCTTCAGCTGATGTAAATCAGCTAAGCCCATGTATCCCAGCTGAGAATCCAACCCAGTATTATAAAATCAAAAATCAGACTAGGACCCCATGAGGTGCCAAGCTCATTCAGTCTCACAAAGTAAAACATCATTCTTAAATGTAAATAAAATAAAGAAGATTACCAATCACTAAAGGCACACAAATGAAATTTAAAAAAAAACATGTTTCCTATCACAAATTGTGAAGTGATGTAGGTGAATGTAGTGTGGGGCAGAAAGAGCAAAGCTGGAGCTATCAGCAGCAAAGGAAGAAACTGAGGTTATATGGCCAAAGTAGCCATTACACTCTTTAGGAGAAGGATTTTAATAGTTAAGCATTATAAGATACAGGAATTGTTGCCAGTCAACTGCTAAAAGCAGAGTCCAAGAAAGTGGGTTACCTATTGTAATACTCACCCTTTAAGAACTACCTATGTATACAGTACCAAATTTACTTTAAAGTGTGTGTGTGTGTGTGCATAGATTATTCAAAACTGACCATGATATTTCCCATTTTCTCTTTCTGAACAAGCTAAAATATTACAATCCAAGATATAGGTGATAAAACTAAGCATGGATACCTATCCCACACAACACAAGGAGCTCTAAATGAATGTTATCAAAAATAAATTAATTCTAAAGATATGATGTCTTATTATATGAATGTTGTCAAACACTTACCACTGGAGGCTGCTAGGACATCCTTACATAGCATTAGCCAGTGTGAAAGTTTTTCCACTGCCAGGGATGAAAGCATATGTCCCAAGGTATCATGAATATCAGAACACAGCTTTCGATCAGTCTCCCGATCTAACATTCCAAAAAGAACCCCCTCGAGGCCAGTCTCTGTTATATTAACTCCTTGATGCCGGCAATGAATATCCCGCCGAGAACCAGCTCCTGGTGCAAAAGGGTTAATATCTGTAAAATGAGAGACTTTTCCAATAAGAAACTGAATCATATTTGTGCCTTGAAATTAGGGCAATAGCAGTACTAGAAAAGGACATTCTGCATTCACTCTTAGTTGCACAGATCACAAACACAAAGGCATTACAACAATTTGTTGTCAATAAACTCTAACATAGTTTAATATATTAAACTTTTTAGAAGTTAGATTCTATGAGATACTGAGCATCTCCCATGAAATGATAAACACTGTCAATTACCATTAAAGTAAATAGGAGTTGAGAAGAGCGTTCAACACCTTCCAGGAAATGCTCAGCATCTAGCCGCATTGGATCCTGGAGAATCTCTTCTGAGTTAAGTCTTAAATGTGCCCCACAATACTAGAATGCACATCATTCTGTGACAGAGTGGAAAAATCCTTTGTGTGATAATCCGTTGAAAGAAGGCAACATCAGCACCAGATTAAATTTTTACAAATTTGAAAAACATTAAGTATATAACTACCAGCAGACAATTATATACTTACTATGGACGGCTTCTGGATATTGTACTTTTTCCTGGCCATTCAAACAGGTGAGTAGGAATCATAACTCATTTGAGCAGCAGCAGCAGCATCAGGATAAAATTATATATGTAAAAATTGGGGCAACTGGGAAATTCGACTGGCTACTACGGATGTTGCTAACAGAACAAGTCAAAACTGAATATCCTACTCACAGTATACAGGATCATTATGCCCTGTGACGGGGTCTATCAGGTCTTTTCTGCTCCCTGCTACAGGAATTGGTGCCCTAACAGCCCCTACTTACAGAAAACCCACACAGACCAGGCTGCCAACAAGACTTCATCCTCCAGAGGCCTAAAAGAGCCAGGAGGAGACACTGACCAATCAGGTGCCAGCACGTCAGTTAAAAAGGCTTGCCTGTGCTTCTCCGGGGTAGTGGCAGGATGAGATAGGGCCAGAGAAGTGCTATCCCAGAACCCGAGGGCCAGGTCAGGGCCTTGTCCTCAAGCACTACAATTAAGATCTTGCCTTTAAAGTTATGTTTGTTTGTTTAAAGGCGCAGACGGACAAATTCTGAGGTTATTTTTATTCAGCAGTTTTAGACTGACCCTAAGTTTATAGCACAGGCCACTTGGCTCTAAGCAGTTGGCAGTAATTTGTGGACTAAGGCAGGGAGCACCTGAAATGCCATTCTTGGCCCCGTAAGAAGCACTATGAGGCAGCCACCCATACCCCACCCCATCCCCTCCGTGACATGCCCGTTTTCAAAACCAGCAAAAACAATTGGTAAGAGAGAGGAACAATTTAGAACAACATATTTTGGGGGGGAAATTCCATTTCTAATTTGTTCTCAATATTTAAGAGGCCAGGGCTACTGTCTTTACTTTTAGCTGGAAGTATGGAAATGGCAAGAAACTCCAAAGATGGATGGGTTTTGTTTGTTTTTGTCTTAAAAAACTCACACACACACTATTAGAAAAGGACACATGCAGGTAACACTTACTGACGCCACTATTCTCTTTGTCGCCAGCATTTTTTGCTAAGCTCATGGCATATTCACACACTTCTGCTGCTTCCCTCTGCGCAAGCTGCCGCAAACATGCCACTGCAGCCCGACGGAGCAATAAATGAGAACTGCACAAGTGAACCTGCAATCAGAGCCATTGTAAACTGGTAAATTGCTGTCTTTATTTAACTGAATCAAAACTGCTAGTGATTAATAACCGCCCCTTGCTCAGCTAAATCAAGTGTAGATCACGTAAACAGTTACAAAGTAGCGTTGCACTTGCACAGAAAGTCAGAATGCAAGAAGCCATTTGGCTGAAAACATGAATTAAAATGGATAAGTCCCTTAACTTACTGAAGGGCATGCAGCTAACTAAACCCAAACACGATCACGTCCTTTGGAAATGAACCTCTGCCTATCAGAAACACGTAAGAGAACTACCTGTACCTGCTCACTGCATTTGCACATAGATCTTGATCATCTTTCTCCTGGAGAACCAGCTTGTTGAATTTTTTTCTGAGCTTAATATAATGAGAGAAATTCTGTTCTATTCTTCTATGTTTCCATAAAGTAGCTATTCCCCCCTGCAGCATTCAAGATTCTAAAGAGTTTAATTAGAGGAAGTTTGAGTGTTCCAGGTGGGGTGTATTAGCATCCCAGCATGTTGCCCCATCTCCCAAATGGAAGCACAAGTGGGAAATTTAAAAAGCAAAATTGAGAAATCTTATTAATAAAGTTTATTATTCAAGATTTTAAAATGTGAAACACAAATTAAGCCTCACAGACTGTAAAAGTGAAGCCAATCAGGAACTCTGGAAACTCTCTTAGCTTCTCTCCCATTTCAGCTCTCAGACAAAGAGACCACACTTTCACAAATGCTCAGCACCAGGCAGCTGCAATTGTTCTCCGATGTTTATCTGGAAGTCTGGGCACTTCATTTGGGTGCTGAAATGGGAGGGGACTGTGACAGAGTGCTGGGCAACAACAGCAGAGCCAGCCCTCTGGTCCTTGCAATTCTAATTAATTACTCTAGAGCTAGGGTGACCAGACAGCAAACGTGAAAAATCGGGACGGAGATGGGGGGTAATAGGAGCCTATATAAGAAAAAAACCCCAAAACACGGACTGTCCCTATAAAATCGGGACATCTGGTCACCCTATCTAGAGCAGACCTTATTAAGAAGAGTTGTGCCTAAGTGATGGGCTGAGGAGAACTAAGAGGTTATTTAGACTATTAGGAAGATGATACAAAAGGCATAGAAACGGAGGAAAAAGAAAAAGAGAGGGAGAGATTGCTCTCCCCCCTGCTTGCCTCAGGACAGAGCTGAGGGCTCCCTAGGACTGTAGGGGTGAGGGTAAATAGTGTATAAGGGTGGAGAAAACTAAAATTGTAAATAAACTGCACTGGGTGTTTTACCAGCAAAAAGGTCTCTGAGCTGTTTGTGGACCTGAGCAGAGGCAGGAGCAAGGCAGGCCTGCCACAGGGAGCTCTTTGGAAAATCTGGTCACTTACTTAGGATGGCCAAATATAAGCTGTTGGGTGCTGAGCCCTTTGAAAATCTGGCTAAAAGTGCACAAAGAAGCACTTCTCACAACATATACACTTGAAAATAAAGTCGATATTTCCATAGCTGGTGTAGCCATCTGGCTAAAGAAGGATAACATTGTGACTGGAAGCACAGGGAATAAAATTTGACTCTAGACCAGTGTTTCTCAACCCGTGGGTTAGGACCCAAAACTAGGTTGTCAGAATGTTTCAAAGGGTGACGTGGCAGCTCCTGTGGCTCTGTCCCGCTGGGCTCACTTCCCCGCTTCAGGCACTGCAACCTCTGGGGTCCCCGCGCCACTCAGGTTTGGCCCAGTTGTCATGATGACAGGAGTCCGGGTAGGCCAAATTTGAGTGAGTGGCACTGCAACCCGTGAGCCAGGTGACAACTCCACTCACACAAATTTGGTCCAGTCAGGGGTGCGGGAACAAAGCTGAGCGGCGCTACAACCCTGGAGGTTGCAATGCCCAGAGCAAAGAGGCAAGCCCAGCCAGCCCCACAGCACAGGAGCTGCAGGAGCCACCACTGTGGAGTTAGTGCTGGGCAGGACCAAGCCAAAACCACCTAAGGGCCTCCACCACCAGACTATTTACTGGGTCATGACAGACCATAAGCATTTACAAATGGGTGCTGAGCCCCAAAAGGTTGAGAACCACTGCTCTAGTCCAGTTTACATCATGCTTTAACATTGGTTACAAACTGTGAATACTAGGATCCTGTATTCTACCAGTGACAGAAATTACAATTTTCAATAAAATGGCCACCAGCAGTCATTGAATCACTCATGACAACTGTCATTAAAACCTTTTATGTTCAAATCTAAACCACAGTTTATACCACATATGTCAGTAAGTACTTCTCAACATGAGAGCTTCCAGATTTCTGTGCTAAGTAACATTTGCTTGTAATATGCTTTGAATCGCCTCGAGTACAAGTAAATATTTTTCTTCCAAAAGAATTCTGCAAGCGCCCAACTTTTCTTGAGAGGAAGTAGCTGTACAGGGAACTGTATGTTCTTCAAGGGAGGAGAAAAAGAGTGCTCTTTTAGAAACTCTAATCCCGAGTTACCCCGGGGACATATTTTTTAATAAGTTGAATACACATTTGCCTTCCCTCTATTAGCTTGCTACAAGGGTGGAAATTGCTTTCCCAAATGAAAGGTCATTGGGTGTACAAAATATTTAACACTAGGCCTTTATTTAATTCATGAATGTCTGAAGGTTTCAATCTTGAAAAACAGACTTTAAGAGATCCTCTAAGTATCATCCTGAAGTTGTTGCAATAGAACTACAACAGAGAAATTTAGGATTTACATTATTGGAAAGATTATTCCCTGCTTTTAGTTAAAAAAAAAGAAAAGATGATGAAGTACAGAGGCAGGAAGGAATCTGAAAAGCATTATGGAAAAGATTGGTTTAAATTTGATACATGGTGTTGGTTCCAAACAGAAGATAAAAGCTTGTCACTGTTTTCTCCTTCATTTAATGGGGTAGGATTTTCAGCCAGTCCTCTATTCAGCCACCAAGTCCACATTTTACTTGTCCAAACAGCTGTGGGAGCATGTGCAAAGCCATTTGCAGGTAGGCTTATCATGGAGGGAACAAGATTTTGAAAGCAAAAGGGAGGGAAGGAAAATTAAATAGTTGAGGGTTTATGATGGAGCAGGGAAAGGACAGCAGAATGGCATGGAAAAAGATTTCAATCAGCAACAATTACACCTTGGGTTAACTTCATTGTCTATAATATTCCCACTGGGAGTTCTAGTCATAAAGGAATTGACAGAGAGAATTATTTGTCACAGGATGTGGTACATATCAGCCTGTTATTTACACTTAACAGAAGGGCCCACCTACATCGGTGCTGAGCAATACCTTTCCCTTGGAATTCTCTGCACTCTGACAGAGTATGGGTCATGCGGAATAAGAGTGCACCAGTTACGCAAGTCAAGGGGACATGTGCTACATGGGGGGAAACTCTAAGGAAAAATTGGACAGCAGATTACACAAACAGGGAAAGTCCCAGGTTCAGTATAAATAGGCCTGGGAGTCCTTTGGTCATGATCAGTCCTTCAATAAGATCTGTGAAGAGTCTGGGACACAGGTGGCCAGGGATGGCTTAAAGGGAGGGTCTCTCTGAACGTCTGAGCAGAAGTATACTTAACTCCAATTTATTTTTTAAATTTTCATCCAATAGTTTTGTTTAGATCAAATTTTGGATTTTACAGCCCTTGCATCACTTCCTGGCTTGAGGCAGGAAAGTTAGTGCCGTGTTTATTGAGACAAGTGACAATACTCACCTGAGCAGCAATGGAGGAACTTGGGGACAACAGCAAGACAGATTCTGCCTAGGACTCTGATAGAAGGAGCTATGCCACTTTCCCCACATACACTTCCTTTCTAAGTAGTCATAGGAGATAGGGTCCCCCAAAGGTCTCCTCTTTTTCATTCGTTATTTTATATGCCTAAGACTTGTTATTGTGTATTCCTCTCCTTTCCAAGATAAACAGCCCTAGGGCCTGATTCTCATTTAAACTAAGGCCACTTTACACCACTCTGGCAGAGTAAAGGGATTTAAAGTGAGTGTAACTATAATCTAAGCCCACATTAAGGCCCCTCTACACACCCAGAGCAATGTAAAGTGGCTTTAGTGTAAATTAGAAACAGGTCCCTAGTCTTTTTAATCTTGGATAAATTTTTCAAAAGTGCCTAAATGACTTAGGTGCCAAAGTCCCTTCATTGATTTTCAATGGGACTTCTGACTTGGGAGCCACTGAGTGCTTTTGAAAACTTTGCCCCTCAACAACGTATGTATATTCCCCCATGGGCTGCTAGCCATTTCTCTTTCCTTTCTGCAGGCCTTAATGCTGAACTTTCCAGCATTAGGGATGTAGGACAGGACAGACATATTTTACACTCACACAAAGGCTGGGAACCAGACTGGATAGGTTGACATGGCGGGGTGCAAACATGTGAAGCTGTTGAAGGCAGGATATGGCAGCTGCCTGAACAAGAGAGTCCGAGTGATCTTGTGTGATCGCACATCCCACCAAGCATGAAGAGCGGATTGTTGAAATAGTAGCTCCATTACCTAACAGAATAAAGAATCCTTAACAAAGCAACTTTTTTGTATAACTGTTATAGATTTTAACCTTTTAATCACAAAACTTCAGAGATGTGAAGTCTTTGTAAATTACATACAGCATCACTCTTAAATACCTATACAGTACTTGAAGTTAACAACTGTATTACTTCAAGAGGACTCTGTATACAGGGTTAGAACTCGCTTTCCATTTTAGCCCGATTTTGACACTTACCCCCTTAAAGTTCCAAAGCAATCAGCTAGCCCCAAAAGTCCTTTAAACCTCAAATTTTACACAAGTGATCATTAGCCAGAAAAATGTTGCGGGCATTGTTCAGTTAGTCAATATTTCTCAGATATGGCACTTGTTAAAATGAATTAAGTTTCAGGTTTTGGAAATCTATTTCATTTAGTAATCTTGGATAAGATTGCATGCATAGACCCATTTCTTATAATATCAGATATAAAATTTTAGAGTTATTTGCTATGGATTTAGTTTTAAACTCTGAATACTTGTCACATTTTGGAAGACTTTATATTTTTTGCTAGTTTTGGAGCAGTTTAATATATTAATGTACTGGTGGAGTTTCTTAGCTCCCTCAGTTGCATCACTTGGATTCAACAGGTTACAGACTACACAGAATATTTGATTTAAAGACTATGTTGTCTTGCATTTCAACAAGTACCATTCATCATCTTTACAGCACAACTATAATTACAGCAAAATGTTGTCTTTATAAGAAAAAATTCTGAACAATCTACATTTGTATATATCAATACTTTTAAAATATCTCCTAAAAATCAATAAGGAAATTCCTAGGCAAAAAAGTTAAGATACAAGTACAAGACTGTAGTTAATAAACATATGCGAAAGGCAGGGAATTTATAATTGAGGTTTCACTACCAGCCTCATCTATGGCACCTTATCAGACCCCATACCATGTATATCCTCCAAAATCCCCTTTGCACCTTAAAGAAAAACCACCATACATCATCTTTCTTTCCAGTTTGGACCACGTACCCTCAGATACCACACTGTAAATATGGTCAAGGTATAAAGATCTGAGAATACTGAGACTGGAGTTAGATAATTTTGGCACCAGTTCATATAGCCACCTGTTACATATATGGCAATTTCCTGCAATATCTTTGGGAGTTCTTACTATATTAAGCTTATGTATCATTGTGAGCCAGGAATTGTATGCAATTCCACAGGGAGGGTGACCACAGTTCAGTGGGGAGTGATTAGGCAAATTCACTCAGGTCTAACACCTCCAGAGAAGTAGCACCACCTGGAGAGGCTCACATATACTAGTTCAAACTGGATTCCTCAGTGACCAGACAAAGAAAGGAGTTTTGGAAAAATAGCCTAAGTTTAAACTATCTCAGGGCCTTCTATCTGATCTAGCTAAGAGACAGGACCTTCTCTGACCAAGGTGAGCCTGGGGATGGGGGAAATCCTTGTGAAGAGCTGGAAGGGCTGACACCTACCAGAGCCTAAGGCTGAAGTTGGGGTGACCTTTGGTAAGCTTTTTAGCATGCATATAAGGGTTTTTTTTATAGCTTTTATATGTTTTTTTCTGTAATGCTTTCACCTTTATAAGCAAGCACATTTATTCTTAAGAGCTGTGTGGTAACTTGTAACTGCTGCTGATTACAATTGTTCACAGCCTTCAAAGAGAAAGCAAAGTGCAGATGCTGGACTGTTTAGGCAGTCTGGCTTGCTGGAGATATCACAGAGTGGGCAAGGAATTGTGTAGCCTTGAAAATCCCCTGTCACGAGGGAGAGAGATGAAGGTCTTTACCCAGGAGAGTTGACAGTTGAGGAGCTAGGAGCCTAGAGTGGGTGCCCTTGAAGGATCATGGAGGAGGAAATACAAGTGCAGTTGCCTTGAACTGTGTCACCATCAATACACACAGTGCAGATGCAGTTCTACAGACCCTACACACCAATCACAAATGCCTCACTATCTGCCACCATGCAATACTTTAACAGCCAGCTGACATTAAGAAAAAACAACATCTATCCTATCTATTTATAACCGTAACTTCATCTTAATTAAATTGCAGATTAGAACTTACCTTGCAGCTCAGGACCAACCGTAGTTATTATAGCCCCAAGACATCGACCCAAACACTGATGTACTTCTGTATGCGATGGTGGAACCGTCAAGAGCAGGGTAAGAACAAGAGACAGAGTAGGCTCCACATATCCCCGGTACATTGGCCCACTAGAGTCCACTATCAAGGCAAGTGAATGGAGAGACCAGGTCTATAATAAATCAAAGAGATTTTTGGTTTTGAGTCATACAAGTTTGTTTAGTTTAGAGTTTTGAGGATTTTTTTATAGTGGCTATGGCTCTGATCACCCTTGTCTAAACATTTCTATTTTAACCCTCTGTTTTTAAGAATGTCTTCGTCACCCCATAATCTGGAACATTCACTTCTGGGCTGAAATTTCCCAGGTTTGGTCTTTGCCTGCAGGTGAATTTTTGTTTGTTTGAATAAAAATGGCTAAGCTGTTTGAGAATGAGAAGAAAAGGATGCATGTACTTTTTCCACTATATAAAAAAGTTTGACACATTTTTGCATAGTTCTAAAGCCAAAACTGGGGCAGAAAGTTGAAATTAGACACAGAAGTAGTCCTCGGGAAGAAGTGCCTGAGCCAATGGAAACAGGTTTTCATTTGAGGTTATGGACAGTTGAAATTCTCAGCTTGCATATACAGTACATTTTGCACTGAGTTTTCTTTCTAAACTCTTAAAAGTGCAGCTAAGGAAGGCCATGCTGCTCACATGTAGTTAACTTAGCTGCATTGGAGAAAGGTAGTGAAGGGCAGAGCCCTGGCCTCATTCACTGAACACCCTGTAAGATACACTATGGATGAAGCAGGGTGCCCTTGTCTCATTTTCTACAAAGGTTGTAGGGAACAAGTTTCAGGACTGCTAATGTTCACAGGAAAAGGATTCCCTCTCTTGTAGGCTGCAAAGTGTGCAGGACAGAGTGTTCCAGTGGCATTTACCAAAATAATTTTAGATTATGATTTTTCCCCCCACTCGACAAAAATGTGGGAAGTTCCATAAAAAGAAAAAGGACTACCGTAAGAGGAGGTTACAATTGCACAGTTAAACATTTAAGTTAGCTGGTCACACTGCCTTTATTCTGCTCCTACAGTCTAGTTACATGATCACATAATCTCTCTCAAATACATAACACTACTTATTCTACAATGTTAGATACTAATGTTGCATCTTATAAAAAATTTTTCATTCTTTTTACTGTTTCATTCTATTTATTGTAACACTGCAATATCTTTTTACTGATTTAGAGGGAGGATTTTAAAGGTTCAAACGGCAGTGTTACATGCCTAATTCCCATTTAAAGTTAATGGGGATTAGGCACCTAATTGCCATTTGTATCTTTGAAAATCTCCCCCTTTGATTTCTTATATTTTTATACGGTAGTAAAAAATTGATTACATTTTATTTGTGAAATAATATGCAAGCCTTTGTTTAAAGACTAACACGATGCATTCACAGAACAGCAGAAATAACATTTCACATGCAACCTGAACTTTGTCAATATCTAACTTTTGAGAGCTTAACTATGGAAATTTATGAGGGTTGGTTTTATACATACATATATATTAATCATTAAACAAAGCAAATCTTATTTTTCCAAGTGGCAAGTTATGTTTAGAAAAACTTCTCTCAATCCTGTCTCCTCAGAAAGAGGATTACCTCTACTCCATGTTCTCTAAAGTTAATAATTAAAACAAGACACTGGTGGTCTGCGGTTCCATGTGACTGAGGTAGCAGAGGATGGGGGTCCAAGCTTAAAGTTCTGAGCCATTAAACTGCCTCTTTCTGTGGGTGAGACACACCTTCCTGCTGATGAGGCATAATAGTCAGTAACCACTTCAACTAATAATTTACTTTGGAGTAATGGGGAAAAAGAATGAAAAAAATCTCCTGATATGTGGTGTAGTTACACTATAATCTTTTGAGAATAATATTTATAGGCAAGTAATTTTCGTTTCTTCAAAGTTTTTATTTATATCTTTCTCCAGAGGGTCTTTTACTATTTTATTTAACTGGCTTTGTAGAATTCATTGCCAAGGGATATCATGAAAGCACCTACTTTCCTTTAAGATTCTACTTTAACTTACAATACATTTGTTTTCCCAACTGTCTTATAATTGATTTTAATTCATTGTTCTATAGAATGGAATAACTTATTTACATCTTGAGATGACTCAGCATAATTAGGCACTTGCCTAAAGTAACCGTTCAAAGTCAGGTTAGTTTGTTGTTCAGCACACTGCACCATAAAGTCCCTAAAGAAACTGTATTTGGGACAAAAAGATCTCTCTCCCCCATTTAGACTTATACTCCTTGGGACATGGCCTGACTATTTTTTCTTTTGTGCAGCATTTTCTTTGCTGTTGACAGTAATATATTAATCTTAAACCCTACTGGATGGTTTTAAAATGCCTTTTTGTTTTATACCTGGACTTCAGGTGAGGTCCCATCTTGTGCCAACGCCAACAGAATACTGACACTGGTTTTCAGATGCTGTCCAGAACCTATTCCACCCACATAACGATGGAGACAGCCAAGAGCCAACGAATGACCAGTTCTTGACACAACATCTCGAGCAGATTTTAACCTATCAAGATTAAAGCATAAATCAAAGTATTTGCTAGATTTGTAGTTGAGGCAAGGATTGTTCAAGTGTCAGAAAAATAACAAACCTCAGCTCTCGTCTGTTAGTTTTGTTAAATCAAAAAAAAAAAAAAAAAAAAGTAGAGACTTTCTGGGAAGATATCAATGAAAAAGACAGGAAACTATTTAAAACTTTCTCATTATTAACTCCTCATATTCAGTTGCTTGTAAAGTTATTCTGATTTTACTATAATTCCTTTCTTCTCTTCTGGGAAGTATTTATTTCTGACATTTTAGATAAGGAATATTTTTGTGACTGACAGGACACATGATTCTCTTAAACTGTCTACTCTTCGCTTGAATGAAAATATGAAGAGACATGGTGGAGGACTGACGGGAGTGCAGCTGAACCCTCTGAAATAGTGACAGCTCACTTGTTAAATCTTTTTAGATCCCACTGCTTATCACTGCTATGAGTTTTATTATGAGGGTTTATTTAAATAATCTTTTATTCAAAAGAAATAAGGGGGAAAGTAGCAAGACTTTGAATCACCAGATTACATAAGTAGTGACATGATAACTTTTCTGATGGATGCTTGGCAAGATTTGAGCCCCCCACCTCCCCATCTACTGCAGCTATGACAACTGTAAATAATTAGGCTGTTAGCTACAATTGTTCTCCAGTAGTCACGGAGAATGGATACCTGTAAAGAAGGAAGTGAAGGGTAATTTCTCTTCTTTCTGTGTGTAAGACCGTAGCACTCTAGGCAATAGACAAACATATAATAATAAATAATAAAAGGCCTCCAATAGATAATACAAGAATTACTTAACAATATGGACAAATTGAAAAATCCATTTGATAAAATGGATCTTGGAGGAGAAATTATGGACAAAACCATAGTGCTTGGAAAATCATGGGTTCTCAAGGGAAGAAACAAAGTCTTATAAGCAATTGTATTATAAAAACAAAGTTCAAATTCTGAATACTGAAAATCTTGAAAAATGCTTAACATATGAAAATAAGTATCCTTGAGATACTTAAACTATCTAGAAGATCTCTTGAGAATAGCTGAGGATAATAAATTTTACTCCTTTAGAAAAAAATCTTACCTATAAACATAGAATGAGAGCATGTGTGAATCTAGGTGAAAGCAGGAAGAATCTGAACTCTCCCTTACAGTTTCTGATACTGCTTAGTTTGCCAAGATCCAGGGGTATAACTCTAGGTAACTTTTGCCTTATTTATGATAGAAACAGAGTCTTGCCTTGAAATGACATCACTGAAGAAACAAATTATTTCACAAAAAGAATGTCCCCAGATGGTTTTTGGCCTATTTGAGTTAAGCTGATTCCTCCTTTATAAGAAAGAAAGTTTTTATACTTAGAAGTTGCAATCTCTTTTGCATTTCTGCAAACAACAACAAAAGACTTTTTATCTTTTTAGAGATGGACAAGTTAAAGCCATTCATAAAAGGGAAGCTGAATTTAACGTAACTGGATCATCAAAAGACCAATTTCCGTTTTAAAGGAAATACACTAAAATATAGTTCACGTACTCATCTGAGGAAAAACTGGACACACTTATCTTCCTGAATCTTTAGTACAGACAGATCTTTAAAGGCCTAATTGGTGATGGGGAGTCCAATGGAGTAAGGAAGCAAGTCACTGTGGGCCAACAGAGAAGCCAACTCCTAGGTGCTAAGAAAAGGTGTTGATGACATAAGGCTACCAATATGCATTGTTCTGGGTAACCCCACACTTTACACATACTTAGAGTCAGCCATGTTTATTTTATCTGAAGCAGTTTCTTCATCCTTAAATAGATCATCAAGAACTATTCAACAATACTGTTCCGGAGTCCAAACATTTCAATCAGTTAATGTTCACTCTTGGTAACAGCATATGAAACAACTCAGGATCTATAAACCTGATTAGGCCTCCCAACCCAAAGTGGTCAGGCATGAAGGAAATATACTTAAAACTATCATTATCATATTTAGCAGAGACATTTTCTGAACATGTTTGAATTCTATTTTTATTTCCTTTCTTGAGGCAAAGTGACAACAACTTACTTGTCAAAGCTGAATTGAGCCATTCTGGCAATGAAAGTTGCTTCTCCAACTACCTGAGCCATTCTGCCAAGTGCCTCTCCTGCTGCACATCTCAAAATGGGATTAGGATTGTCAAGGGCACCCATAACCAACGTCAGAGCAGATTTGCGGACTTCTTCTGGTCCTAATGTGCTTTTATTCTCAGCTAAACCCTATATGAACAAATGGGAAAAAATATTTGACCAAAAGAAATAAAAGTATGTTTTGACATTGGTTGCTGAAATCAAGTTTAAAACAGTTTAAACTGATATTTTTACAAGAAGAGAATTCACTAATAAGACAGGCTACGTAATTTTTGAAGTGATGTCTTATACACAGCTGGACATATCTTACAACTCACACCTTGAGAAAGGTGTTTAATTTCTACTTCTCTCCCTATTTTCCAAGGGTTTTTTCTTTTTTCTTTTAAATAAGATTAAAATAATGTTACCTGTTAATACAAATAAAGAAACAAAATGAAGACTACACGAACACCCAACTACCACCAAAACAATATTCTGCTTCTGCCCCAAAAAGCAAAGCAACTAGTTTCCTCCAAAACCAACAGCAATCGCATTGCATGGTTCTTTGCTAATTGTTTTCCATGAGCCAGTTCCAACAATACAACTTGATGGGTTGGCTCCTCTCATAGACCAGACAAGCAAAGCAACAGCCAATGAGACACTGCAGTTTTCACACACTTAACTCCACCTCCTTCTATCACTCTCACTCCCCTGAGCCCCTCACCAGCACATCACGTGGAGAACTTCAGAACTGTAAGCTGAATCATTGTAAAAACCAACATAACTTCAGCATATGATAAATCAGCTCTTCATGATAGTGAAGGATAGTCCAGACATCTGCACTGTTGTCTCTAATATATATCATATGGCATGCTGCTTTCTGAAAGAGTATCTGGTGGTCTAGGTTTTAGGGACTTGTAGATATAATGACTAAGGGAAGAAGAGAAAGGGAAAAGAACTCCAGAAGTAAGCCCTGTGTCACAAAATCATGCATTTGTGACCAGACTGGAGGAAATCAGAAATTTTCCCTGCAACAGTCAGGTAGTCAGACAGAAGAGAGTAACACTTTAATGGAGACTTTGCCCAGATGCTAGTGCTGGTTGGAGATCATGTTAGCTTGTCTCAGTCTACCAAACAAGTGATTCAACAGTTAGCCACTGATTCATAACTATAGTCTTGCAAATAGAAGAATCTGAACACTGCCTGGAAAAACTGCTAGAGCAATATCCCTTGAAATGAGAAAAAAAAAGAAAATTAAGTCTCCTGGGAGAATTTTCTTCTGGTCTAAACTGACTTAGAATTGGTGGGTCCAGTTAGTCTCCAATAGTATTAAAGGGGACTAATAATCAATTTTGTTTTAACTGAAAAAGACCACATTTCCAATCAATGAACTTCTGGGGTCACTGTTAATGACCTGATGACACTGGCTTTCATCTTCATGGAGTTCCGAGCAAAATCTATTCAGTACCAGGAGACAGAGGGCGTACACGGTCAGAGGAACAACAATGGTATGATTTCCCATTCCTCTGGCAAATAGGTTACTGGATGCTGAAGAGAATGAACTGACCTGATAGGCTGTCGCATCAAAATCAGTACACCACAATTTAAAGTGTGTGTGGTAGGGGGAGGAAATCTCAGCAGGAGAGGGCTAAAGTCAGCAAAGCAATCTGTTACCCGCAGGGAAAAAGTTTCACGTTTACTAGGAGTGGACTGTCTGTAAGAAGTAGAAAAATCCTTACTTTGAAGACTGTTTATCTTCCAGTCTCTGCACCTGTGAAACCTGCCCCCAAGGAATCCCTCTTTGGAGTACCCTGTACTCCCACTGCTGCAGTCAACTACTTTGAAGAACTGTGAAAACAAGTGCTCTGTGAGAGCCTGGGGCAGAACGTCAGGGCTTGCAGAGTGGTCATAAGAAACTGGATGTAACATGACCACTGCATTAAGTGTATTCATGACTCTTCTCATCCTAATATTCCATGTGAAGGAGGGAAATGATCTTCTCAACAGAAAAGCAAAAATTAATGAGTTACAATTAAAAGTATTAATCTAAGGCTATGTCTACATTTTGAGCTAGGGGCATGATTCTCCTGCTCATGTGCATACACTTGCGCTAACTCGATGAGAATCACACCCCAGCTTGAAGTGTGAACATAGCCTAAAACAGGGGTGGGCAGACTTTTTGGCCCGAGGGCCATATCGGGGTTGCAAAACTGTATGGAGGGCCAGGTAGAGAAGGCTGTGCCTCCCCAAACAGTCTGGCCCCCGCCCCCTATCCAATCCTTCCCACTTCCCGCCCCTGACTGCCCCCCTCAGAACCTCCAGACCCATCCAACCCCCCCCTGCTCCTTGTCCCCTGACTGCCCCCTCCTGGGACACCCCGCCCCTTATCCAACCCCCCTGGGACCCCACCCCCATCCAACCCTCCCGCTCCATGACTGCCCCGACCCCTATCCACACCCCCACACCCCTGACAGGCCCCCCGGGACTCCCACGCTTATCCAACCCACCCCATTCCCCGTCCCGACCTCACCCCCTGAACCTCTGCCCCATCCAACCGCCCTCTGCTCCCTGACTGTCTCCCAGGACTCCCTGCCCCTTAGCCAACCCCCTCGCTCCCCTCCCCCTTACCATGCCGCTCAGAGCAACATGTCTGGCAGCCGCGCCGCCTGGCCGGAGCCTGCCACGCTGCCCTGCAGGAGCACGCAGCCCCGCCGCCCAGAGTGCTGCCCGAGCGGGAGCGTGGTTGCGAGGGAGGAGGGACAGCAGCAGAGGGGCTGGGGGCTAGCCTCTCCGGCCGGGAGCTCAAGGGCCGGGCAGGATGGTCCCGAAGGCAGGATGGTCCCGCGTGCCGGATGTGGCCCACGGGCCAAAGTTTGCCCACCTCTGGCCTAAAAGGAAGAGGCTGCTGAAGAAAAACCAAAGAGGGCCCACCAAAACAACCTGGCTGCTACAGTTGCTACTGACGTCCGTAAAGGCAGGATACAAACTGGGCAAGAGACACAAAAGGGCTGGAGCTAGCTGAATGGTAAGAGTTCAAATGGAAGTCTCATTTGCTGGCATCCTACCTAATTCACAAGAGAGGGGAGTCAACCCATTAACCTGCATTGTCATTATGATGTCAAAAAAAAATAAAAATAAAAAAAAGATATACCAGTGTTACTGAATTAGAGTTAGCTTTACCTAGGACACCCAGGCAGGGGAGGCTCCCCTCACCACAGGATCAAACTCCATCAGACTGGAAAGCTGAAAATTTTAGGTGGTATGTCAGTGTGTTGCACTGCAACAGTCACTAAATTAAAGGACATTTTAGCTATATGAAGAAAATTTTGAAACTATTTTTCTTTTTCTAATCAAGGTAGCAGCAAAATCACATCTTAACACACTGGATGGGAGTGAAAATGCTGGATGACTGCAGCAGCCCGTTTGGTCCTCAAATATGTGAAGGTCAAGGAATATACTATTACCACTCAGAAAAAGAATCAAGTCACTTTAGGAAAAGCACCCTTCCCCCCAAATTATAGGTGGGGAAATAATATGTGATCATGTAGTTAAAGACAGTATCATAACACACATGCACAAAGGAGCCCAATTAAGAATGCACAGGCAACCTTAATTCTGGCTTTTCCTAACTTTTGAGTGCTTGATTTTGCAACCTTAGTAATGATCTTTTAATGTAGTTTTTGTGTTTAACATTATATATAAAAGTCTATAAATCTGAGAATTTTAGTATCTGTCAGTTACAAATTTTTAAGCAGTTTTACCTTCAATGCGCTGAGAACAGCAGTGAAGATATTAAGCTGCACAGCTTGTTGGCGGACACCTTTAGCCTGTTTGACACATTCAGCAAAGTGATCCAACATTTGTAGCCTACAAAAGAACAATTAACATCATCACTAAGAGAGACACTCTTCCAAAAAACATACTGAAAAGACACTAAATTTTGCCTAAAGGGAAAAAGACCAATGCAAAAGAGAAAAAAAAAAGTAGTAGAAGGGTTTAAACAAGGTCCTGTGAATTCTGCTATTTGGCTGCAGAATGTATTGGGCCCTATGAAAATCTTTCCCTGTCTCACCTGGTGGCCTGAGAACATGCTGCCAGGCAGAGGGGGTAAAGACCTGTGATTGGCTCTCTGCTGGCTCTGTCTTGAACTCAGCCACAAGCAAGAGATTGTCATTTCAGAAGAAATGATTGCTTAGAAGAAACAGTGACCGCAGACAGACTTTGCAGTATGACCGGAACCGTGGGGACAGGAGAGAAGAAAAATTCACTTGCCGCAAAATCCTCCACCTTAGACACAATGCCGGGAATAAGGAGAGTGCAAAGTGTAATTCACGTTCTCTCCTTCCACCCACATGCTGCTGAGAAATTAGAGGAGGGGAGGAGAATATGAACTGGCTTTGTGCCTCACCTTTCCCCTAGAGATGCCAGGAATAGAAGGGAATAGAGCCAGCAGGATCCCTATTTGGGTAGCAGTGGTTTGGCACGTAGGCTACAGAGTCTTTTCATTCAGATGCAGATAGACTTTGTCATAGTTATCCATGCCACTGCAAAGCTGAATTACTGCAAAGTGTTCTGCATGCTAATACACCTTAAATCAATTATAAAAATGACCTCACCACACATTAAGTTGAATTTTCAGGGCTGTAAACTAGGAAAAAGATCTTTTACTTCTAACGTGAGTACATGTGATATGGAACCCACTGAGAGAACGGAACACCAGAAGTAGATTGACTTTTTGAGAGAACTATAATCCCATTAAATTAAAAAAGGAAAGACAACCATATATTGAATTGCACATTAACTTAGACTGACCTGTGTTTGTAAGAAACATGAGGAAAAACCACACCAAAGAGCGCCACAGAGGCATCAATGACTGATACTCCCAGGGGAAGGGGGCCAGGCACAGCTTCACCAGCTGGGATGCGCAAATAAATGGAAGACGGGTCATGCTCCAAAGCTCCACTTCCAGATGCACTGTTTGGCTGAAGCTACAAATAACCACAAGATATTAATACCTTCTAAATACATATTTGCACATACTTATACTGAACATACTGAACTAACCAAACTACATATGCAGCAACTTAAAACTACATTACTCACCAGCAGTTAGAATTCTCTAACTACACTCCTACATGCAATGCCAGGCAAATCCCAGAACGTTCAAAGCAGCTAACAGCTTGGTGTGAGCAGTCTCAGTCACCCTTGGTACAGATGTGGTGGGTGAATTAAAGACAGTGACAAAATTTGGTTCTGACAGCTGCTCTGGAAGCAGTGAACACAAAGAGGTATTTCAGGGCAAAAGGTTAAATCGTCATTTCCTCAGCCTGTGCTAGAGGCGGAAAGGCAGCGTAAATCCTGTAACAACTCAAGGAGTAATGATTCCCCAAACAGATCAATTTGTGGTCTAGAAATTGACTTCTGTGACATAATATAAACATCTCTTTAAACTCACCCTCTTATCCAGGTATGCCATCAAACAGCAGCAACCATAAGTGAAAAAAAGGTGAACTTTCTCATATCAAGTATTTATTGTTATTTAAGTGATAAATAATGTATGAAATATAGTTTGAGGCTAGTGCTTCTGTTGTCTCCTGGGCAGGCAGATCAAACAGAAACTGAGTAGTCACTGAGACCTCTTCATGCCTCTTTATACACTGCTTAGATTGTAGTTCCATGCAGGCAGTAGGATGCATGCAGCTCCAAACATTAAAAGCTTTGAACAGGGCTAGGTTTTCATTGATCAGGACATGCAATTCCAAGACAAGGATGTATGGATGCAAGTATTGGAACGCAAATGTATAGAGAAGAGTGGGACAATAAAACAGACTGCTCACCCCAATAGCCTCAAAGGTGAGGAGGGTTAGCCTGGGCCAGCAAGGGAAAGAAGGTCCTTTCCCCTCCCACTCCACATGGGAGCTCAGCTTCCTTGTGGGCTTGAGAAGGGGGAGGAGGCATCCTAACTGACTTGGGCTTCTACTGTACCTTTCAATCCAGTCATTGCTTCCTGTGCACCCAAGGGGAGGGTTTATAAACCCTTACCTCCACCCAGTGTACCATTCTACTTCTGGGAGCAACAGATCCCCTTCCCCCTGAATATTAGGCTCGGGCTGGGTTTGGGGGGCAGCTGTGGGCATCATACTAGTCACCTTTTAGGGGCTGAGGAGTTTTTCCCACACTGCCAGATTGACCTGGACAGAGAGGTATTTTCACCTTCCCCTCAGCAGTCCAGGGACTATGTGGGCAGGTTAGGTTATAGAGTTCATGTTGTCGCAACCTGACAGCATAAATGCTGGAACTAGGGTTTCTGCGGTGCTGCTGCACCCCTAGGTTTGAAATGGTTTCCATTCATATACAGGGCTTAGTTTGGTTCAATGGCACCCCCACTATACAAATTGTTCCCTGCCTGACAGATGCCTAAAACAGAGGAGTTGGGACCAGAATTACAGGAAACATATCCCCTAAAGGTGGGAAATGGAGCTGGGCCTCCTAACATCTGGTACAGTGAAGGATCAAGCCCCTTTCCCCCTCCCCCCTTTAAACTTTGTACAAGAGGAAGCTATTGGAGTCCCAGCATTAATGTTGAGACCAGGATAAAAGTTTTGAGTGAAGAGAGGGGAGGGCACTGAGGACAGCTCTCTTCTAGGTGGCACTGATGACCCGTGCACTGGTTGAGTTATTGCCAGATAATTTCCCAGATGCATTTGACTAATAAAGTTGTGGCCTAGTTAAATAACATTCCCAGTGTTTTATCTTTCTTCCAGTGATGTCTGGCACAAAACACAACTGGACCAATGTTAAGAGTTGATTATCTGCAAAAATTCATTAAAAGGGTCTTCAAAAGAAAAATTTCCCCAATTATTTTATTTTTCACCTGCCTATAAATGTTTCCAATAGCCAAACAGATTTCCTTCAAAAATGTAAGAAGTTCCTCCTACTCCTAATAAGACTTTGTACGTCACCATCCAGATGGAAGGATATGATTTCACACTGTTGCTTTAAGAAGAAAAAAAAAAGTCCCTTTTTGGTATAACACTAGTTGCAATGTACATACTGTGACAACAGTTCCATTATAAACTCCGCTTCTTTTGCATTTTATAATACCTCAGCTGGGGG